TTTTGATGTGTTTTTTGAACTTTAAATCTTAAGGAAAAAAACTCATACCAATTTTCTTTGAATACAAAGAAAATTTTTTTGACTACTCTATTTTATGTTTACCTTATATGATATTTAATTTAAATAGAAACTAAAATTTGGGAAAATATTTTTTTGCAACAATGACACTCTTTTAAAAAGCAAACAATACATATCTTATAACTTACAACACAATATCACAAATACATCATTTTAAAAATGTTAAATTAGAAATTAATAAAAATGACACATGTCAAGAATATAGAGCGCCAAATGTCGCTTTGTGAGATAAAGTTAGAAGAAACCTTGTCTTATTATATAAGATATGTAAACCTTTCAATGGCTTTGCCAAACCATAGAGTATTTCTGTTGTACCGACGCTCTTCGGATTTGCTTCACACCCCTAGCTCACTCCAAAATGATGACTCACCAAGTGTCCACCTCTGTGAAAAGGAGCACCACCCTCTCTATAGATGTTTCTTGGTTGATGATGCGATCATGATGCATGTCCTATACATATATATATATATATATATATATATATATATATATATATATATATATATATCAAGTCGTTTTTAATCAGAAATTAACTCTCTCTTCTTTTTTTGGGGTGTAAGACTTTTTGAGTTGAACCGCACGTATGGCCCTTCGAATAATAGTAATTTACTCATTTATGTGTTTATTTTGGCTGTGAAAAATGTGATGACGAAAACCAAGTTTTCATGTTGGCGTGTTTCTTTTGGTTTGGTAATCCTTACGTTTGAGAATTGTATTAATAACAAAACGAAGTTATCTGAACCTGAATTGCAAGAGCCGACTGTTTCTATCTATTATATATGTTAAAGAAGAAATCAGAGAACTTTGTGAACTGAAAGAGATCTGTAATTATTTCAGAAACAAACTGGTCCTATATAGACCTTACAACAGAGAGCTCCGAAACTAACTCAAATTAAACAAACTCAAGTTCGTGTCCTACAAACCAGGACAACGACTTATTCAAAGTTTAAGAATTCAGCATCACATTTTGGGGTACGATCTAGCTGAGTAGGAGCGATGATGGAGAGAAAGACAATAAGGAAAAGCATGGTAGACATAGGAAATGAAGAAGATGAAATGTAGAAATTTTTTTGAAGAGTTCAAAGCTTTTTGTTTTTAGAGTTGGGGAAGATGAAATGCGGTAAAACAGTTAAGAGGAGAAAGCTTCTTCTACTTGGGGAAGATGATGATGATGTTGAATTAATATATATCCCAATTTTCATTTGATATTTTGCACTGTCATCACAACTAAAGATTCCATCAATATGTTTTTATTTTAATTTTTTTTACGTCTTCAACTTCATATGCAATATTTCTATATTCAGCAAATTATGTATATGGTTTTGTAGTTTAGGCATTTAAGAAATTTGAGACTCATAAACGTCCTAATGAGAGTTGGTGTCTTGCATAGCTTTTTAGCACATGATGCTTTAAACGCTACTCATCTAATTTTAGTGTCTATTTCCGTGTTTGTAAACTACAGAATAGCATACATTTTGATTCTCCTCAGTTGAGTAATTAATGGTTCTAAAAAAAAAAAATCTGTATTTGAGAAAAATTCATTGAAAACCTAAATTATTAACTCACAATACAAAAAAGTAATATTTTGCTTATGAAAGTTTATAGATGGTTGAAGTATCTTCAAAAATTTGGAATTTTTGGTTTGACTGATATCATGTATAATGAAATGAATTAATCTCTGATGATTAAAGTTGTATTTCATACGCTAAGGATCAATTTTGTAGAAAAATAAATATCATAAATATAATCTAATGATATTTTATGATCATGATCATCCAAAAAAAAAAGAATTGAAAGATTGCTAATAAGTTGGAACAAAAGAAAATGAAAAAAATAAAGGACTTTTGTGTAGAGTCAACAAGAGTTGTGGAAGGTTCAAGTGTCAAAAAAAATAAAAAAAAATAAATGGTTTATAAACTAAACCGAACCAAATCAACTTAGAAGAATGAAAGCTTTTACTACAAGGATGAATTACGCGGGAAATTTGATTTTAAAGTAATTTCTTTCTTTAGCAAAGAAAATAAATCATAACGCAGCCGAGAGAGCATTGCTAACCGGACGTCAATAAATGTGGATTCGATCGGTTTAGATTTTAGAGCCGTTGTGGTTAAACATAACAAGGAATACGAATATTAAATAAAAGGCCGTCATACATTATTGCTTTTGTAACGAAGTTCAAAAAAAGATGTACATTCATTGTAATCGATCACATCTATAATACTGTTAATCATTTACTTGGATTTTTACATCGACGGAAACTGTCAATGATCGATCGGTCCCTTACCCAAAGGAAAGATTCCCTGATTTTTCCATTTTTATTTTTCCTTAACTTCTTATGAAATATTGCCATTTTGGTTTAGTATTATTAGCAGATCGTATTAAATGGTTCTGTCGTTAGTTTGAGCAATTAAGAAACCATTGCAGGTCTATCTCAGAGGGTTGGTGTCTGATCTGTACACTACTACTGAGATTCTGCTTTTAGTTTTACACCCATCTTCTGTTTTTTATTTATTGTTATGTAGTAAACTAATCAAACAAAGGCACACATCTCTTCTTTCGTTTATAAGTATTAATTTTGTCTTTAAAATAAACTTTGCTTGGGATAATCACATACATTAAAACCTAAATTCTCCATAATATTTGTTTATGAAAGTTCATATATGGTACGGTACGTACGTAGAGATCTCTTTTTGTATAAAAGCAATAGACATTATGTACTGTCTTTATTTATTAGAGGATAAAATATCATTCTACTATCCATATGAGACACATCTATATTACGAAATTTGAATGTATCAAGAAAAATAACACAACGTTTAATTACTGACTACTACTGCTGACCAATGAAATGGAAACGTTATAAGGTTAGTGTGTGGAGCCTTTGATTTTGGACTTTGGACCATGTGGAAGTAATAACTGTTAACTTGACGTAGGTAGGTTTCATATATTTAGCAATTGCTAAAATAATTTCTATCAGGTTCAGTTTTTACCCGCAGGATCCGTTCTCTTTGTTTCACATAAGATAAAAATGTTATCGAGCCTTACACTTGTTATGGCCCAGTGAAAGCTAAAATTCGAATGCCCATCATCAAAATATAGCTATGCATTCGGCAATATAACAACCGGTTCTGTAAATTATGGTTTTGAGGCCAAGGCAGGCACGTCGTGTATCTAGGTTTAAATATCTATCCATCAACGAAAAAGAGCATAAGTAAAAGAGATTGGTACACGTTAATTATCAAGATTTTTGTATTATTTCATGTGACAGGCAGTTTAGGGACACAATGACATCATCTTAGATGGGAAATCTGATCATAAAACTTCATAACACTATGAGCATGATCTAGATCAAACTAATACTTTTGAGATACGCATGCAAAACTTTCTTTGAGTTCATTTTTTGTCGTTTTCTCAACTCCATCACCTTGGTTGGTAAGGTAAACATTTAATCTCTGTTGTACTTTAAACATATATACTTATGTAATAGACCACATTTAGTTTCGAAAGATGTTGGATCATTAGATTAATTCATGCTAGCTAAGATTATGGTAGTATATAATCTTCCAGCTTGCTTTCCACGTTGTCTATGGCTCGTTTTATCTACGTACATGATTGGTATACATGAATATGTGAGAAAGAAACAAACATCCAAAGTAAAATAATGAAAATGGTTTCTTTAACTTGATTTTCTTATAACCATAAAATATTATTAAACATATGTATTACATTTAAAAATATAAAAAACAATGAAGACATAAAGAAATACATAAAAACAAAAAATAAATAAAATTGAAAACAAAAGTTTAAACTAAATTATTAATCAAACTCTTACAATGATATATTAAATGAGTTTTCACCCATGCAAGAACTTTAAAAAAAACAAAGAGAATAATGAAGATATGAGATATGGTAGAGAAGGATGTGAGAATGGCTATTTATATGATAAGAAGTGATGTAAGTTACATTTTTGAAATAATTAAATTAGAGGAGTTATAATTATAATTTATAGTGTGTTTAATTGGAATTCAATAAAGAAAACCAATAGTCTTCGATAATGCACTCGAGGAGGTCCAAGACGTGATTACTGATGATTTGAATGAGATGCTTCTGGCACCAGTTACGGAAAAGGAGGTTCAGGAGGCTCTCTTCATGATGCACCCGGATAAAGCACCGGGTCCCGACGGTATGACGCGTGGGGTGTAGTTAAACAAGACTTGGTACATTTGGTAGATTCTTTTTTTCAAGAGGGTTGTTTTGATAAGAGGCTGAACCGGACGAATATTTGTTTAATCCCAAAAGTAGAGAGACCACGGCAAATGACGGAGCTACGACCGATTAGCTTATGTAATGTGGGTTACAAGGTTATTTCTAAGGTGTTATGTCAAAGATTAAAGCTAGTCCTCCCTCGACTTATCTCGGAAACTCAAACTGCTTTTGTTGCTGGCCGTTTGATCTCGGATAATATTTTGGTAGCCCAAGAGATGTTTCACGGGCTCCGGACTAATCCCTCTTGCAAGGGTAAGTTTATGGCTATAAAGACGGATATGAGTAAGGCGTATGATCGGGTCGAGTGGGAGTTTGTTCTCCGTCTGCTTCGGAAAATGGGATTTGCGGAAAAATGGATTTCATGGATAAAGTTTTGTATCTCCTCGGTAGAGTATAGGGTGCTGATTAATGGACAACCTCAGGGTCATATTATTCCAGGCAGAGGATTACGACAAGGTGATCCCTTATCTCCGTACCTCTTTATTCTGTGCACTGAAGTACTTATTGCAAATATTAGGAAGGCCAAACTCATTACAGGGATTAAGGTGGCAAATAAATGCCCTCAGGTGTCTCATCTATTGTTTGCCGACGACAGTTTGTTTTTCTGTAGGGCCGTATCAGATCAATGCACGGTTATTCTTGGTATTCTCAGGCAATATGAGGAAGTTTCGGGACAACAGATAAACTTTGCAAAATCCTCAGTACAATTCGGGCACTCGGTGGATTCTAATACTAGAGCGGAGATTCAAGGAATCCTTGGGATCACGAATATTGGTGGAATGGGCTCGTATCTGGGGTTACCGGAAAGTCTGGGGGAAGCAAAAACGAAGGTTTTCTCTTTTGTTAGAGATAGATTGGATAGACATATTAATAATTGGTCAGCGAAGTTTTTATCCAAGGGAGGGAAGGAGGTGATGATAAAATTGGTGGCTTCTGCTTTACCGACTTATGTGATGTCTTGTTTTCGACTTCCAAAAACAATTACATCAAAGTTGACTAGTGCAGTGGCTAAATATTGGTGGAGCTCGAATGGTCAAACAGGGGGTATGCATTGGAAGGCATGGGATAAGTTATGCTCCAGTAAGCAGGTAGGCGGTCTAGGGTTCCGAGATGTTAATGATTTTAATTCGGCACTTTTGGCTAAACAGCTGTGGCGGTTGATAGAGGTTCCGGATTCACTTTTTGCTAAGGTTTTCAAAGGAAGATATTATAGGAATTCAACCCCTATGGATATCAACAAATCTTACTCTCCGTCGTACGGATGGAGAAGTATTTGCTCAGCGCGTTCTCTGGTGGCTAAAGGGCTAATCAAAAGAGTCGGTTCAGGTGATTCTATTTCTGTTTGGACGGATCCCTGGGTGCCATCTCAATTCCCGAGACCTGCTGTAAGTAAGGGGCTGTTATTGGACCCTTCTCTTCAAATTAGACATCTTATCGATCGTCAGTCAAACTCCTGGAAGCTGGAAAGGTTACAGGAATTTTTTTCCTCCGAGGATGTTACAATCATAGGAGCTATACCACTGGGGATTACAATGTGTGGTGACTCCTTTGGTTGGCATTTCACGAAGACTGGAAAATATACGGTGAAGTCAGGTTATCATACGGCTAGGCTACCAGATCCAAGGGCTACGGTATCCCAGGTCTGTGGACCGGATATTATTCCCCTTCTTAATAAGGTTTGGAAAGTAAGATGCCCGCCAAAAATACAACATTTTATGTGGCAATTACTGACTGGATGTATTTCGGTCTCGGCTAATTTAAGCAAGAGAGGTATAAGTTGTGATAGTAGTTGTGCTCGGTGTGGGAGTATTGAAGAGACGGTAAATCATGTCATTTTTGAATGTCCCCCCGCGCGTCAGACGTGGGCTCTGGCAAATGTTCATGTGGGTCCCTTTTTCTTTCCCACTGCCTCGGTATTTGCCAATATGGATTATATCTTAAAAATAGCACTAGAAGGAGATCCAGAGGGTTTTTGCCCCTGGTTGATGTGGTACATTTGGAAGGCGAGGAATGCGAAAGCTTTTGAAAATAGAGACGAGAATCCCATGGAGATTCTACAGATAGCTATGGAGGAGGCTAAGGTGTGGCATGAAGCTCAGGTAGATGATTCGGGTGTTAATATGGGCCTTATTGACCAGGAGAGAGGACGGCAGGGCGGGCCAAGCAATTTGCCTTCAGTGACAGAAGGTTATCGATGTTTTGTTGATGGGTCTTGGAAGCAATCTGACAAGTTTACAGGTTTGGGGTGGTTTTGTCAGAACGTTAAAGATTCAACGACAACAATGGGTGCCTCCAATCTTCGCCGTAGTCTTTCTCCGTTGCACGCGGAAGTTGAAGCTCTAGTGTGGGCGATGCGATGCATGATTGGGCATAATCACAGAGATGTTACGTTTCTAACTGACTGTTCTGATCTGGTGAAGATGGTGTCTTCTCCGTCCGAGTGGCCGGCGTTCTCTGCATATCTCGCGGATATTGGTGTTGATAGGGAAGAATTTTCTACTTTCTCTCTATGTCATATCTCTCGCAATGTTAATGTAAAAGCGGATTATTTGGCACGAAATGTTCGTACCTTACCGCATATTGTTAAGTTTGTAAACGATTGTCCGGTAAATTGGCTCTCTTGAGCTAATCTTTATTTTTGATGACAAAAAAAAAAAAAAAAAAAAAAAGTCTTTGGAAATTTATATAATTTTCAGTTTTATTTTAGTAGTAAAGTGTGAATTTAAAGTATGAATTAATGTATATGATAAAATGTGTTTTTTGGTTAAAAATAAATATTATTTTTAAAAAATAAATACAAAATGGAACAATAAAGAGAGTGGAACCTTACTTTTATATATATGATTTTAAATAATTTTCCACCAATAAGGCTTATAAAATTTGTTGTATGATATATGATTAAATCCTTTCATTTTCTTTGCCATTTGATTATAACTTATAGTGTAATTAAATTTTGTATTAAATGATTGTCATAAACATTTATTTATTTATTTATTTATTTTGTTGAAAGATATATGATTAAGTCTTTTTTTTTTTTTTTTTTTTTTGTCATCATAAAAGAAATTAGCTCAGATGAGCCAATGTGGGGGACAGTTGTTTACAAACTTAACAAGAGACGGCATAATGCGAACATTTCGCGCCAAAGAATCCGCCTTCACATTCAAGTTACGAGAAATAAGGGAGAGAGAAAAAGATGAAAATTCTTCCCTATCGGCGATAATATCCTCCAAATAAATAGAAAAAGCTGGCCAGTCGTTTGGAGAAGACACCATCTTAACCAAATCTGAACAGTCCGTGAGGAATGAAACATCCCTGTGGTTGTGTCCTATCATACAACGCATCGCCCATACAAGAGCCTCTACTTTAGCATGAAGGGGGGATAGGCTACGTCGGAGATTGGAGGCACCCATTGTCGTGGAGGAGTCTGTGACGTGTTGACAATACCAGCCCAACCCTGCAAACTCATCTGTAGTCTTCCAGGAACCGTCAATAAAACATCTATAGCCTATATTCCGAGACGGGGGAGGAACAACCCGGTTTTGTTGTCCTATTTCAGAATCCGTCGGTGACCGAGGAAATCCTTCGTCGACTAATTGGGCTTCCAACCAATCTGATGCTTCATCCCTGGCTAACTTAACCATTACCAAAGGACTCTCATCACGATTTTCAAAAACTTTTGCATTCCTTGCCTTCCAAATATACCAAAGAAGCCAAGGACTAAATCCGTAAATCTCCTCCTTGGAAGATAATGCCAGAAGATAATCCAAATTTGCAAACACAGATGTCGTTGGGAAGCATATGGAACCCACCGGAATATTGGCCAGGGCCCACATCTGCCTTGCAGGTGGGCATTCAAAAATGGCATGGTTCACCGTTTCCTCTGCATCTCCACATCTAGCACATTTTGTTTCGCAGCGAATACCTCTTTTATTTAAATTTGCCGTGACCGACATGCAACCCGTTAAACATTGCCACATAAAGTGTTGGATTTTTGGTGGACACCGCGTCTTCCATAGTCGTTTGAGAAGAGGAGTTATATCTGGACCCATGGGCGGTATATACTTATCTTGCAACTCCCTCCTCCGGGCTAAGAAATATCCTGACTTAACCGTATATTTGCCTGTCTTAGTAAAATGCCAGCCAAGAGAATCCCTTGAAGGTAAAATTCCAAGCGGCAAGGCGCCTACTAAGGACGCATCCTCCTCCGTAAAGACCTCGCGGAGTTTATCTATGCGCCACGAACTAGTTTGCCTGTCAATCAATTGAACAATTTGAAGAGAAGGATCCTTAAGGGACCCCTTAGGAAGGGCTGGTCTCGGGAATTGAGCTGGGACCCAGGGATCAGCCCACACAGAAATTGACTCACCTGTTCCAACTCGTTTAATAAGTCCTTTGCTTACCAGAGATCTAGCCGAAATAATACTTCTCCAGCCGTAGGAAGGAGAGTAAGACTTAATTGGTTCCATAGGATTGGAATTCCTGAAATATCGCCCTTTAAACACCTTTGCGAACAGGGAATCCGGGACCTCCATCAAACGCCATAACTGTTTTGCTAAAAGAGCCGTATTAAAATCATTTACATCCCGAAATCCTAGGCCACCCTCCTCCTTGGACACACATAGCTTGTCCCAAGCCTTCCAATGCATTCCCCCTGTTTGACCATTTGCACTCCAGTAGAATTTTGCCACCGCACTAGTCAATTTTGAGGTAACACCCCTCGGTAACCGAAAACATGACATCACATAGGTTGGAAGAGCTGCTGCAACGGATTTGATCATTACCTCCTTTCCGCCCTTTGAGAGGAATTTGGCAGACCAGTTATTAATATGTTTATCCAAGCGATCCCGAACAAAGGAGAAAACTTTAGTTTTTGCCCCCCCCCAAGCTTTCCGGTAATCCTAAATAAGAACCCATTCCACCTATAGTTGAAATCCCAAGAGTTCCTTGTATAGCTAACCTATCAGTGGTCTCTACCGTATGTCCAAACTGAATAGAGGATTTTGTAAAATTAATCTGCTGCCCCGAGACCTTTTCGTACTGTTTAAGAATCTCCAGAATAACCGCACATTGTTCCACATTTGCCCTACAGAAAAACAGACTATCATCCGCAAAGAGTAGGTGAGAGACTGGTGGGCACTTATTTGCGACCTTCATCCCGGATATTAACTTCTGTCGCTCCGCTTTCCGTATATTGGAAATTAAAACTTCCGTGCAAAGAATAAATAAATAGGGAGATAAAGGATCTCCTTGTCTTAAACCCCTTCCTGGTAAAATAGACCCCATTGGTTGACCATTTAGCAGCACCCTATATTCGACTGAAGACATACAAAACATAATCCACGAGGTCCATCTTTCAGAAAACCCTAGTTTACGAAGCAAATTTATAACAAACCTCCACTCCACCCTATCGTAAGCCTTGCTCATATCCGTTTTGATAGCCATAAATTTTCCTTTACACGAGGGGTTGGTCCTGAGTCCATGAAACATTTCCTGAGCAATCAAGATATTATCTGAAATTAGACGCCCTGCCACAAAAGCAGTTTGTGTTTCCGATATAAGCCGGGGTAAGACCGTTTTGAGTCTGTGGCATAGCACTTTCGAAATCACCTTATACCCCACATTACAGAGACTTATAGGTCGTAACTCCGTCATCCGTTGTGGTCTCTCCACCTTTGGGATCAGACAAATATTTGTCTGGTTCAACCGTTTGTCAAAAAAACCATCATGAAAGAATGAGTTAACCATATCAATCAGATCTCCTTTAATGATATTCCATGATTTTTGGAAAAATAAAGCCGTCATTCCATCTGGGCCGGGTGTTTTATCTGGGTGAATCGAGAAAACTGCCATATACACCTCCTTCTCCGTGGCCGGAGCCGTTAGTGCCGCATTTACATCATCCGTGATTATTGCTTGGATCTCGTTTAAGGCCTCCTCGAAATCCTGAGGGTTATTTGAGATAAATAACTCCTCAAAGTAGCTCGTTGCTATGGAAATGATGTCTTTGTCCTCCGTTTTCCATACGTTATCCCTATCGAATAAACCAGTAATGCGATTCCGAGCACGTCTACCTTTTGTTTGGGCATGGAAGTATTGCGTATTCTTATCTCCAACTTTCATCCATGTATTCCGACTTTTTTGTTGCCAATATATCTCTTCATCTTTATAAGCCTCGCGTAATCTCATAGAAAGATCGTAAATATCTTCCGGTGAACTAGCGTCGTCCGCCTGTGCTGCCGCTAATTTCGATTTTAAGTCCTCGATGATGTCCCGCCCAAAAGGAACCTGCTCCCTCCGCCATTGGGAAATTTCTCGTCGGCAATTCAAAAGTTTATCGACGAAAGCATGAGGTCCCCGACCCGAGACCCCGTACCAGCCACTAGTAATAGCATCCGAGAGTCCCTCTTTGCCTATCCCCCGCTTGTCAAACATAAAACAGCCCTTCCGTTTAATCCGTTTCTCTGCCACCAAAGCAAGTAGTGGTTTATGATCCGAACCAATCATCGGTAAATATTCGATGATAGTATCCGAAAATAAATTATGCCAATCGGCGTTTCCCAAAGCCCGATCCAGCCGACATCGGATGGGTTTCCTATCCCGCCAACCCCGCCAAGATAACCAATCCCCAAGATGGGGGAATTCCAAAAACCCGCAAGTTCTAAGCATAGAATTAAAATCTAGGAAAGAGGAAGCAGGACGAAGCTTACCACCGCATTTTTCATGATTACCCGTGAGTTCATTAAAATCACCAATTATAAACCAAGGGGTACTTCGATTCAATCCCAACCGAGATAATCTCTCCCACACTAAGTCCCTCTTCTTTGGTACCGGATCTCCATAAATAAACGTTAGGTGAATAGTTTTGCCTTTAAATACCATAACCACATCGATCATTCTATTAGACTTATATAAAATTGTAACATTTTGAATATATGATTAAGTCCTTTCATTTTCTTTGCCATTTGATTGTAACTTATAGTGTAATTAAATTTTGTATTAAATGATTGTCATAAACATTTATTTATTTATTTATTTTTAAAAATTAAAGCCTTAAATATTTTTCCACCAATAAGGAGAGAGTGGAACCTTACTTTTATATATATGATTTTACTAACTAAAGAAAGAAAGACTAAGAAATTTTACTTACTAAAAATAAAAAAAAAAAAAAAAAAAAAAGAAAAGTTAAGATCAAACATATTAAGTTGTTAGAAATTTTCTTCAAACAAAAAAAAAGAAAAAAAAAAAGAAGTTAGATCAAACATATTAAGTTGTTATGAAACTTTCTCTAATGTGAAGCTTTCTCCTGAGTAATCTTCAGTTGCAAGAAAATAAGTTCGGAGTTAGAGAAATTGACACATATGTAATTATATATGAGATTAACAAATTTTAAATAATATTTTTCATATTAATATAAAAATGAGGGGATCATGTTGCTTTTAAAAAAAAAAAGTTTGCTATTAGTGAGAAAATTTGAACATTTCTGTTTTGGGTAATTTAAAAGTTTGTAGTCTTTTTGCCATTTATTATAGACTAGTATATAAAATTGCATGCTGACTAAAAAAAAAAGTATATAAAATTGCATATTTGTTTCTCAATTATATATTTGTATTTGGTTCTTTCGTTTCAATCATGACATATGCCAAAAAGAAATGTGTTTTAATAGTTTGGGCGAGATCCAATCAATTACTATGAAAATACAAAACCAAAAATAATGAGAAGGGACACTTACTGTGTATATTTTTTTTCTTAAAACGATAGAAATATATATTTATTAGTATGATCAAATACTAGCTATCTCACATAATTTCATCCATAAAATTCATGAATGTACTCACTCACTTCATTTTTTATGAATAAAGAAATATATGATCAAAGTGAAAGCTATTTGTTTTTTCTAACAATCTCACTTATATTTCCATAACACATTTATCATCAAGTTTACAAACAATGGACTAAATTTTTTTTTTTTTTGGGTTAAATGTTAAATTTGGATTAGAAATTTACAATCCATTTGAAAATGAGCAAATAGACTAATGATTCTCACCTTTGTTGCATTCTCACTAGATCAGTTCAAACCCGATTAAAAGAGACACGAATAATTTGTATTGACGGAAAAAAAAAAAAAAGTTTAGAACCCATTTTTGTTACCTCTCGGGATCCCATCAAAGTATTCGTTCATATATCTTCCACGTGACCGTCACAATTTATGAGTCTTTGGAGTGATTTCTGAACCATAAAAAGATTACGAGAAAGTTCGATGAAACAAACACATAGCCACATACTCCCACAGCATTTGGGTCCATTAGTTAAACTCGAACATATAGGACACTTCCAGAATATTCTTCGGAATTTCTAAACCCTCTTTTTCTAGTTCGAATCCTGAAGATGCTCTCAAGTTATATCATTCATGCTTTGAATCATCGATTTAAATTTAAACACCCTAGGTTTAGGATTTGGGGTTTAAAGTATAGTGTATAATATATATAAAGATATAAATGTATATGTATAATTAATTATATATGGCCACACCCATCTCCTGGAACAGTGGAACCTGGCTAGTCGCATTCACACCGACCACCACCACAAATAGTTTTAGGTTTGTACTACTCCATCAATCTCAATTATTTTCTTTAATATCTTAACTTGTGGTAACCAAACCAAGTAATATCATCTAACCAATAAGATCTATAGAGTTTAACTTAAGAAAAAAAACAACTATATATGACCTCATAAAGTTTTTTCAAGCTGATTCTTACTATTCAAAAACTTAGAAATTAATTTTCAATAGTAGCCACTTATATGGTCGTTGATATAAAAATAATGAAGACCAACCGTGGAATGGACACATTGGCTAATCATAACCACATCTATGCTTCGTCCACTCACGTCACTCGTCAAAACCAAAATCTACAAAACCCCAAAATACTGAAAAAAAAAAGATCACATAAAGTCTTACGTAACTAATAAGAACCAACAAAATCAAAATCAAAATAAATTAGTCTCACTTCTTTATTTCATTTCATACATCTTTTACCACTCTTCAAATTAGGAAGTAATATACAAATATTTATTTTTAGTACAAGAAAATGACAAGTATGATCGTGAAGACAACGCCGGAGCTCTTCAAAGGTAATGGAGTGTACCGTACGGATCATCTTGGCGATAACCGTTCGGTTAATCGATCTAACCGGCTAGGCGATGGCGGACCAAGCTGTTTCCCTAAAACCGGTACTATCCACTGCCAACGGTTAACCATAACAAAGACCGGTTTACATCGTGGGACAAAGGCTCGAGCCATCCTTAGCCCTGTGACGGACCCTGCCGCTTCCATAACTCATAAGGTAAGTTTTTTTTACTTCGATCATTTCTGGTGGATTCATGTGGGAATGTTTTCATAGGCTTCCAGTAATTTTTACGCACTTGTTATATTATTAAGTTTCGTTTATGTTACGACGTGAGGTTCTTTGTGAGAAATGATCACCGATGATAGGGTGGAAGAACCATCTAGCAGCTAACATTATTGTCCTTCTAAATTGCTATTAGTTTCTTGGTTATTAGTTTCTTGGTTATTCGTCTCGGTTAGAACACAAAACCGGTTCTGATATTATGACATTAGTTTTTTGTCTTGTGAGAGGGCTGTTGATGTTGATCTGTTATTACGACTCTTGTTTAAACATCTAACGGTTCAAACTGATGATTAACACATATGAGATTATTTAGATATACACATATGCGTCTAACTTAATTGGAGATCATTTCTCGATATAAAATATGTCTCACTATAGAATTTACGATTTAAAATAATCACTTACTATTTTCGATACGATTTGTTTTTAATTAAAAAACCTATTCAACTTTTTTATATATTCTGTCACAATATAGTTCTTGGTGAGTTATTATATTTTTAAAAAGATTTTATCATAGATTTTGATATTTTATACCTTTTACAATTTTATACTACACTTGTTTTACTAATTTTTGTTTGTTTCATCTTTACCACGATCATTGGTCAACATCAAAATCCCGTAAATATATACAACTAAATTAATTGTTCAAAATGTTTGATAACACTTAACACTATAACCATCAAAATGTTCTATAGATTCATGCAATCACAACTATACTCACTATATTGGACAAAAAAATTAGTATAAACATTAAATATTGGATATATAGATTCGAATCTCCATACCCTCTATTTCGAAGCTCCTCCATACTCACAATTTTCTGATTAAAATTATTTCGGAAACATGAACTGTTTTAAATTCAAGAACCTTTACCAAACTTTTCCATGAAAAAAAAAGGTAACGTATCCACTAGGTTCATAAGCCGATGGCTGCTAATTGCTGTTAAAGCCTCTTTATTGAATCCCCAACACAGCTTTGATGCTTTAGTCAGATTCTTGTGCCACTTGGTAGATCCGTCAATGCCACGTTTTGCAATTCTACAAAAGAGAATACGTACATGAATCTACCCAAAACGACAAATATTTGGCTTTAAAAGAAAAATTAATGAAAAAAAATCTGATACGACCGAGAGAAAATTTTACCATGAAAAGATATTTGTTATAGTTTTGGTTTTTAAGTAAAAAATGTTTTGTTAAAAATGGATATATAATATCCGGAAAAAAGAAGAATGGTGTGGTAGTCGTAGATAGCAAGTGTGTGAGTGTGATGAGATCAGATATGGTTGACACATGTATGACGAGTCACCATACGAAACTTCCTTAATTATTAATCTGGGTCAATTATATTACAATTTTAGCATTTCGAGGTTGCAATTTTGGAATGATATCTTTACATGATAATAATGAAGTTTTTTGGTGACGTATCATACAAAAAACACAAGTTGCTTTTATAAATCTCTATTAAAAAATGAAATGCTTTAGAATGTATATACTTTTAAAATAATTAGAGATAACCAAACCTTATTATTTTGGATGATTATGATAAAAAATTATTTATTTTTTATTTTTTATTTTTTATTTTAACTTATAAACATTAAATTTAGCTCTTATATAATGGAAATGACAAATTTAGGTTGGATAGATTTGATAAATTTTATCTTTTGCTTTTAACAGCATCGATGTTATCTATCTCATCTCATCCAATATTTTTGTGCTTTAGTATAAATATAGATACGTTTATGTCTTCTTCTTGAACTTGCACAAACATTTCTACAATCTAAATTAAACTCCAAATCCTAACAAAACAAAAACATGGTGCAGCGAGTGTTCACTTTCGGCAAAGGAAGAAGCGAGGGCAACAAGGGCATGAAGTCCTTGGTATGTTTACAAAAAGCATCATCATGATCATATAATTAGTGTTTCTTTATTTTTTTTTAAGTATGGATCATAATTTTTGTGTACGTGGGTTTGAAGTTGGGAGGGAAAGGAGCAAATCTTGCGGAGATGGCGAGCATAGGCTTGTCGGTGCCGCCGGGGCTAACCATTTCTACAGAGGCTTGTCAGCAGTATCAGATCGCCGGCAAGAAGCTTCCACAAGGTTTATGGGATGAGATTCTTGAAGGTCTTAGCTTCATTGAACGTGACATTGGAGCTTCTCTCGCCGATCCTAACAAGCCTCTCCTTCTCTCTGTTCGCTCCGGCGCCGCCGTAAGTATCCATCTTTGTATTTTTTCTTTCTTGATTATTTTTATTCAAGAATCGGTTTTATGTTAAATCTTTTGAAGATGGCCAAGATTTTTTAACGTAGGCTTTAACTTGTTAAATCTTGTCTTTTTGAGTTAAAAAATAAAATATCTTTGTTAAAATTATTTTTACATAGATTTTTTAAGAAAACAAAAAATGTATGTTTAGCTGTTTACAAATATTGACTTGTCTTTGATCGATGTTTGTAGATCTCAATGCCTGGTATGATGGATACTGTACTAAACCTTGGATTAAACGACCAAGTCGTTGTAGGCTTGGCCGCAAAAAGCGGAGAGCGTTTCGCTTACGATTCTTTCAGGCGTTTTCTTGATATGTTTGGTGATGTTGTAAGTCCTCTGCTTTTGTTTTTATACAATTTGTACATAACTTGTCTGACACGAAAACTAACCTAACTGCCTTTTTGATCACATTAAAGGTGATGGGGATTCCACATGCCAAGTTTGAAGAGAAGCTAGAGAGAATGAAAGAGAGTAAAGGAGTTAAAAACGACACTGAATTAAGCGCGGCTGACCTCAAAGAATTGGTTGAGCAGTACAAGAGTGTTTACGTACAGGTCAAGGGTCAAGAGTTTCCTTCAGGTTTGATTTCCATTTACATGTCTCTGTCTTAGGTCAGGTTAGTAGCATTCTAGTTTTTAGTTAGATAAGTTTTTGATGGGATAATTGCAGATCCTAAAAAGCAATTGGAGCTAGCGATTGAAGCGGTTTTCGATTCTTGGGATAGTCCGAGAGCGAATAAGTACAGAAGCATTAACCAGATTACCGGATTGAAAGGGACCGCGGTTAACATTCAGTGTATGGTGTTTGGAAACATGGGAGACACTTCAGGGACTGGTGTTCTCTTTACTAGGAACCCTAGCACCGGAGAAAATAAGCTCTACGGCGAGTTTCTAGTCAATGCTCAGGTTTGGCATAGGATTTAGTCTACTGAGTAATAGTAATATTAATTGGCTTATGAACCTTACATTTGATTTTCTTTACATTGGACAGGGAGAGGATGTGGTTGCAGGGATAAGAACACCTGAAGATTTAGACACAATGAAGAGAGTAATGCCTCAAGCTTACGCTGAACTTGTAGAGAACTGCAACATCTTAGAGAGGCATTACAAAGACATGATGGTTGGCAGACAAAAACAATTCTTCTTATAATAGTACTCAAATAAAAAATTGTGTAGTCTTTTAAGCAACGTCTCAAATGTGTATTGCAGGATATCGAATTCACGGTACAAGAGGAGAGATTGTGGATGCTGCAATGTAGAGCCGGTAAGCGAACTGGTAAAGGAGCGGTGAAGATAGCAGTTGATATGGTAAGCGAAGGGCTTGTAGATAAATCTTCTGCAATCAAAATGGTGGAGCCTCAACATCTTGATCAACTACTTCACCCTCAGGTAGTTATAGACTCAAACGTTTTAATTACTTTGCACACAAGGTTTTTTATTAGGTCACACACTTAAGGGTTTAGGGGTTAAAACAGAGATGAAATGAAAGTTTCGTTTTTTTTTTTTTTGATGGATTAGTTTCATGATCCGGCGGGGTACCGTGAGAAAGTGGTGGCGAAAGGCTTACCGGCGTCACCAGGAGCTGCGGTTGGACAGGTTGTGTTCACGGCGGAGGAAGCCGAAGCTTGGCATTCTCAGGGCAAAACAGTGATTCTGGTTCGAACAGAGACAAGCCCTGACGATGTGGGAGGGATGCATGCAGCAGAAGGTATATTGACGGCGAGAGGTGGAATGACGTCACACGCGGCGGTTGTGGCTCGTGGTTGGGGCAAATGCTGCATTGCTGGTTGCTCCGAGCTTCGTGTCGACGAGAACAATAAGGTTTGTTCTGTTTTGATCCTAGAAACTTGTCATCTAAGTTAGTGGACGATTGTTTCTGAAGTTAGGGTTTGAAAATTGGTGAAATTTCAGGTTCTATTGATTGGAGATTTGACGATAAACGAAGGTGAATGGATTTCGATGAATGGATCAACCGGTGAGGTTATATTGGGGAAACAAGCACTGGCTCCTCCGGCGTTGAGTCCAGATCTAGAGACCTTCATGTCTTGGGCTGATTCAATCAGACGTCTCAAGGTGTTTATGAGTTTCTAAGTTTTCTTTACTTTATTTAACATTGTTTAAGCTTTTTAACTCAAATGTGGTTTGATCAAATCAGGTTATGGCGAATGCGGATACCCCTGAAGACGCGACTGCAGCTAGGAAAAACGGAGCTCAAGGGATCGGGCTTTGCAGGACCGAGCATATGGTAACTCCTCTGTTCTTGATCTCATGTTTTTGTTCTGTTTTTGTAGTCCAAATGTTTCATGTTTTCTTTGGTTTGGTTGTTAAGTTCTTTGGTGCAGATAGGATTAAAGCAGTGAGAAAGATGATAATGGCGGTAACAACAGAGCAAAGGAAAGCTTCTCTAGACGTATTGCTTCCTTACCAACGTTCAGATTTCGAAGGGATCTTCCGCGCAATGGATGGTTTACCAGTAACAATCCGTTTGTTAGACCCTCCGCTTCACGAGTTTCTCCCGGAAGGCGATTTGGACAACATTGTACATGAGCTAGCTGAAGAAACAGGCGTGAAAGAAGACGAAGTCTTGTCGCGAATAGAGAAACTCTCTGAAGTGAATCCAATGCTCGGTTTCCGCGGTTGCAGGTTTCTTGCTATTTCTCTTTGAACCTTAGTTGAACTGATTTAGATTACTAAAGAACAGTCCAATGAACGGTTCATTTGTATGTTATAGGCTTGGAATATCATACCCGGAGCTAACAGAAATGCAAGCGCGTGCGATTTTTGAAGCAGCAGCGTCAATGCACGCACAAGGCGTTACTGTTATTCCTGAGATTATGGTTCCACTCGTAGGAACTCCTCAGGTATGTAAATACATATATACTCTTGCAACACACTGAAATGGATTTCTAAACAAAATATATTAAAAATGACAGGAATTGGGTCATCAAGTTGATGTAATCCGTAAAGTTGCAAAGAAAGTATTTACTGAGAAGGGTCATACCGTGAGCTACAAGGTCGGGACTATGATCGAGATCCCTCGAGCCGCACTCATTGCTGATGAGGTAAATGTACACAACATTGTTTTTAGACACTTTATAAAAATGTTCAAGCCGAATTTGCTAAAGTAGAAGAAACGTTTTCTTTTTGACAGATCGCGGAAGAAGCTGAGTTTTTCTCGTTTGGAACAAACGACTTGACACAGATGACGTTTGGATACAGTAGAGATGATGTTGGCAAGTTTCTACCGATTTACCTCGCCAAAGGGATTCTACAGAACGATCCTTTCGAGGTATACATGGATACAATGTCATTTGCTCTCTTTCCAAAGGATAAAAACTTGATAGCCATTGCTTTTATGTTTGGATCAGGTTCTTGATCAGAAGGGTGTAGGGCAATTGATCAAGATGGCAACAGAAAAAGGACGAGCGGCTAGACCTAACCTCAAGGTAAGTTTGTATGTCAATCGAAATCGAGTCTCTCAAGACAGAATTTTTTATCTGACCAGCTATAATAAACAGGTTGGGGTGTGTGGAGAACATGGAGGAGATCCATCATCTGTAGGATTCTTTGCTGCAGTAGGACTTGACTATGTCTCTTGTTCACCTTTCAGGTATATTTAAGTTACTGCTGAATCAAATTCTAATTTTTTTGTTTAAAATGCTCAAGATTGATGTAAACTTACGACTTATTTGTTGGTGCAGGGTTCCAATTGCAAGGCTTGCAGCTGCTCAAGTTGTTGCATGATGAAAACTTGGTGGCATTGTTCTGTGAATAATACATAAAAGCTTTGGCTTCTGATTCATTGTTCCATAAAAATGAACAAATCAAAGAAATTGGAGTTAACTCCTTTTTTCCTTAGTGAAAGTAGAATATAAAACTTTCATATGATTATTGAATTGCTAATAAAAGAATGAGCATTGTTGTGCATTGTTGGGATGTTAAATATGTACTGAAATTAACCATTGTTCCCAAATAAAAGTGAAGTGTTAAAGATCACAATGTAAGACAGTCACAGAGCAATGAGATATATCAACTGAACCAATCTTCAAACGCATTCATATCAAATCAACAAATCAAAATCAAGTAATCAACTTTGCGTAATTTATGCGCCTTCTCTACTTGCAAAACAAAGATTTGGTAACTAGGGAATGAACTAACGAGAGCTGACTCTGTTTGATAATATATATTGAAGGGTGTGCCTGATCTTGTCCAGGACTTAAAACCCGAAATAACAAAAACTTTGCTTCATTCATATTCAAAGTCAATTATTCGTTAAGGAACAAACCGTCCAAAAGGTCGGATGATGAATTTCCATTCTCATTTCCATTATCATCGAAAAACCCATTTTCCGCACTTTCTTTCCTCAACTTCCGCTCTTCGATGATGGATTCTTCTGTTCCGGCACAGATATTCCGTCTTCCTTGTCTCACGGGTCTATCAGCCACTATAAATTTGCTTCCGTCCCGGACACGCTCAGAAAATCCAGCCCAAACTGAAACAGAAGAATGCTATTTTTAAGAAACGAACACTATCATCATTGTCCATATGACTAAGCAGTCACACTGAGTTACTATTTTCTATAAATTTGCTATCCATCAAACTGTTTTTCTAATCTTAACAAAATGGGAACAGAAACAGAAAACATAATACCTCCAAAATGATGCAAAACAATAGAAGCTGCAACAGTCACATTCAAGGAGGCAGTGCCACAGCCATACTGAGGAATATACACAAAGAAGTCGCATATTTCATATTCCTTGGCAGATAATCCTGATCCCTACAAAATCCCCAAAAATTGGTCCTTCAGTAATAATTTGTTAAAATCTCGAAAGCTTATTACCTACCATTTAGTTAATGGCAGAGACCACAACTGCACAACCATTGAAGCCAGAATAAGCAGTTTTCGGATTAAACGTACAATAGTCGAAGGCTATAACTCTGAGCTAACTTCACTCCAATTCCTGAAGTTGTAAAATGTGTTTCAACCATTCAAGTATCTGTAGTCTACTTGTTCTCTCATTATTGTTCACAGATGAAACTGACTAAAGATCCAAATTCTAAGTTCACAGTCTCAAACAAAATTATTGATTTCCTATAAATCTACTTGATTAACTCATTGTTCAAAACTGAAACTAACCAAAAAGATCACGATCTCATAGCAAACAAAGTAACCCATAACGATGTTTCTTCAGAACTAAGAACCCTTAGCTAACTTCACAAACTTAAGTTAAACTGGAACATTCAAAGTTATGTAAAAATCAGATCTTTTGATTACCTCATTACCGAGAAGAAAAGCAGTGCTTCTTTTAAAAGGATGCTCGTTAACTGCAGCAGCTCCATCTGCAATCTCAACGCCACAAATATCGCAATCTTTCTCCTCCTAAACAACAAAAGACTCAAACTTTGAAACACCCTAATCCAGCAATGATAAGACCCATAAAGAAAGTTCCCAAATTTGAGTTGAATCTGACTAAAGTTGAGACCTTTAAGTAGGTACGAGCATCGGCAAGGGAGTGAAAATGGCGGAATCGGATGTGAGAAGCTGAACCATGGCTCCCGAAGGCGTTGAAATCACGACGGCCGACAAGGATCAGCTCCGTAACACCAAAGGCAGTGGCGCTACGAGCTAGTGTGCCGATGTTGTGACGCTTCGCTATGTTGTGAACAATCACGTAGCTCTCAAATCCCACCATCGTCGTCTCGTCTTCTTTTACTTCCCTTTTTCTCCGGTGAGGGTTTTTGTCAAAGTCGTTAAACCAAACAAAAGAGCCTTAGAGATAAACCGGCAATTATACCTCAATTTTGATTAAGCGGTTCCGGTTTATATATCGATGAACAGTTCAATTTATCCACTGGTTTATACTTGTCAGTTTACAATAATTCTCAACCATATCAAGATGTCATTTGAATCAAAATCCTTTTGTTTTGTAATCAAAAGTAACCAGCAACAAGATGTTTTGGTTTGGAAAAATGAAAATAAATGGAGAATTGTGAGCTCTTCTATATCTTCTCGACCCTGAATGAATCCATGACTCTTCTTAGATCTTTTTCTTCTTCTAGGAAAACTTTCTCAGGTGTTTGGAGTCTCAATGAATAGAGTCTGTTGTTCTCAACTCCTAGAACCGCTAGGTAGCGCCGGTTCCATTCCAAACGAGCCACTCTATCTTCCGGCATCACAGCTAGCTCGTTGTTGTTGGCGTATGACTTTATGTTTACCTGTTCAATCATTCAAACACACATTATTGTCGCTCATGAGCTATGTGGTTTATCATACAATATCTCTAAGCATAAATGCAAGTTGCAACTTCAGATGAAACAATCCGTAAACACTAGAGAATTGTTGAAGATTAAACTGTTGTTTCTTATGCAAGTCTGAAATCCTGTGATTGATCAAGACATCTTGCAACAAAATATGTTTGATCAAGAAAACTATTCTTATGATTGATTAAACCATGCTGCAACACTATGATTGATCAACAAAACAAATGTATTATGCAACTCTGAACCAACAAGAAAAATGTCATGGTCCGGTTCTGTCTAAATTCACCTAAAGCTTCACACTTGGTTTCAGCAATAGGCACAAAAACATTCTCCTTATAATTAAGCTCAAGTAGCAAATGATCTAAGCCGTCATATGATGTTGCACTCATAATTTAATATTTGAAGACAACTGAACAACAACACTACGTTACACAGTTTCAAAATATCCAAAACCTGAGATGTCATTTCACAAAATTAGGATGCAGTATGGTATTTTGACTTTAGCTTACCTCGACTTGGTAGTACGGTTTACCGTCATCTGCAACTCTAGAAGAAGTGCTCAGGATGGTGGCCTGGCGTTTGACCCCAAGTCGAGTGGACATAAACTCAGTCAAGTACTGTCGAACTACTCTCTTTCCTGCTTCTTCAGGGGATCCCAAGTCTTCAAGTGACATGTAGTTTGAGGAAGAAGGCGAAGAAAACTCAACTGCGAGATTCTCATCGAGGACAACAGGGTCTCTAAAGAATATATCAGCACCCGCTCCTCGGACTTGGATCCAATTTTGAGGGTACTTAAAAGAGTACCCATCAAATGTATCAATGTATTCTCTGAACACTGGTGTTGATGCAAACGCTGCTGGAAGATTGGCTTCTGAAACCATTAAACCAGACATGAGTAAGCCCATCATCATCATGTTCTTCCTCCTCCCAACTGCACAAGCCTTAAGAAACGGTGTCAATAATAACCATGAACCAACCCCATCATAGATTCAGCATTAGATAAAAGATTTAGCATTTATGCATTGCCACAATATTTGAAATCGTTACTAAACGAAACCCAAACTCAAAGACACAATAATGCTTAAGTAAACAAGTAAGGCTCAATCAAAGTTATGATTTTTACCTGTTTGTCATCTGTTAAGCAGTTTTTGAGAACATGGGATTCCGGATTAGCGGAATTGGCAGCAGATTGGTACATCGGACCCGAAGAGATGGGTCTGGAGAACAAAAGCTGTCATTTTCTCCAGAAATTAGAACTGAAAGAGAGTCTAAATATCACAGCATCAATTCTCAATTTCAATAAATCAACATTGGAAAAGAGTCCGATTTGTTTGACTTCTGTCAAAATTGAGGTAAACCCATTATTTCAGTTCAAGAATTTACAAATGGGCAATGACAAAATCTCATAGTTCCCTAAATCATCGATGAAGCAGAGAAAAGAGAGTATAAGTAAGCTTACATGTAAATCGTTGTTGGGTCTCGGACATGGCGATGGAAGATATGTAGACAAAGATCGAGAAGAAGACAAAGAAGTTGATTTGCAAGAATCTGTAGATGCTCCTTTGGTTATTATGTGAGAAGGGAAAGCAAATGCAGATGAAGCCATTAGAAAGGAGGAGTCTTTTGAAGCTCAAAATAAATAAAAAAAGTTGAAAACTTTGGGAATGTAAAGTGAGTAAATCAATCATCCACAGAGAAAATTGAGATTTTTGGTTGAACCACGTCAACCAAGAAATCTAACTTTGGATAGATTTTGATATTATTTAATTCTATTTACAAATTATTATATTATATAAAAAATGTCACCATTTATCAACAAATCCAACACATGTCCAAAATATGATAAACGAGATACAAGCCAAAAACATATAAATGTGCAAATCATATAATAATTTTGATATATATAGTTATATATTCTTATATAAATCTATAAAAATACACGGATACTAAGAAAAAATGATATCGTTAACGAATAATGTATTTTCCTATTTGTTTTGTTTCCAAATTTTACGAATATTCAAATTTTTTTGAATCGAATCGGAACTAACAAATATTTTGTCCAAGCCTATGATATATTTAGCTCTGCCTGATTTTGTAGAATTTCAACAAGTTTGATAATAAGTTTTAAATTGCGATAATTTTTTTTTTTTATCCTACATATTGTGGATGTGTTCTTCAAATAATGAATATGCATTTGAATCTGACACCATTTGAATTTTGAATCAACACAATTTTTGTTTAATAGCATAAAATCTGAGTTCTAGATCAGAAGAACTAGTAATGACATATCTTTCCTCTCGATCAGCATTTCTTTTTTTTTTTTTTTTTTTAAATATATGAAAACCCCTCAATGGGTTGGGCCCTTAACGGGCCGGTATCAGATTACAGAAAAACGAAACTTTGGCTACCCAAGAAGGACGTCGGAAAGCTCGCCGGAGAAGAGATCGGAGGATCGGATCTTGCTGTATAACCGGAGGCAGAGAATCAGAGCACTAGCACCGGCGGATTCAAGGAGCACGGCGTTGCGGCAAGATCGAGAGGAAGAGGAACGCCGGTGGAAGAATCCGGATCCCACCATTGAAACCAAACCGCCGACTCACCAACCTGCTACACTCCTCCCGGAATACCCAATCGTCCGACAACCGGTTCCGAGAAGTCAGAACCCATTCCTAGCAAACCGACGACCGGGAATCTATCCCCTCCAACCAAACCAGGAGCCTCGACAACCCCTGAGCCAAAACCAATCACCCGGACCGGAGGAAACCCCAACGGAGGATCCGGAAGATGATTGGCTCAAGCAAACAAACCAAAACCAAAACCCGAAGGGGCTAGTAAAGGATCCAAAGAACCTACCGTGAACCGCCGAATCAAAACAGCGAACCCACCGTTTCATCTCTGACTTCCGTCGTAGCCACAACAACTAAAGGGACGGCTGAGCCAAGGAGAGGCTCTGATACAACCGCCAGCGTCTTCAAACCAGGGTCATGCGCAGCAGAGCACTCCACCGCCCGATTGGAGCCGCCGCTACATCAGAGAAGAGACACCACACCACCGCCGTCGGAGAAAAGAGACGCCCATCACCTAAGCTCCATTTCTGACAATCGTCCACCATCGATGAGCTCTACAAGAAGAAAGAAACAAGAAGGGGAGGGAAAAGACACACAAGCACCAACGGCGCCGGTGAAGATGCTTCCCCCTCGATCTGTGCGGTTAGGGTTTTCATGAGAGAGGAGAGAGTGTTTGGCGTTTGGGCCGCTCAAAGGCTTTTTTCCAAATTCCTACTTTTCTCGATCAGCATTTCACATGCCACAGGTTTCACTATAATGACCACTAATTATTTGCTTATGGTGTTGGGTCTCGAGATCAAGACTCTCACGATCTCACACATAGTTTTGTAAAATAACAAGAACAAACCTAATTATAATCACCCCAATATACGCCTAGGATGTTAACGTTTTTCTTATTTCATTTTAGTTTCTTAGAATTTTTGGTTTTATCGATTTCATAAAAACTGAAACTATAAAAAACTTCTAGATTAAATATGTCGCTTTCCTATAACGTATCTCTTACGTCTTAAGGAAATCGGATTAAGTCTCGTATCGGATTGAATATCACATAAAAAAAATAGATCGGATTCTTGAATGGAATATTTCAAATATGCATTGGAAAGTTGATTTTTGTGGGATAGCTTAGGGAGTTAACGACAAAAAAAAAAAAAAAAAACATGTTGATTTCGGGGGTTTTTGTCAACCGTTAACATTATCTCTAGAGTTCTTAATTAGTATAGTGTATATTATTAATGATCTCGTGGTTTATATTTCTAATAACATAAGTAGGTGATGATGAATTTTTATCTTCTAGTTTTTGTATTTTTTTCTTACGCCTATTCTTTAATGCAACAAAATACTTTATGAATTTGTTTTTATAATAGAAAAAGAAGAGGAGTATTATACTATCATCGACAAAAGAATGAGAAACATGCAAGGGTATTATATGCCGCTGACAAGCCTGTTGTACCAAACCTGCCATAATTATAAGATAGGTCAGGGTGTCTAACTTGGAAATTTACAAATTAGTCTTACACAAAAAGAAAAAAAAAAAAGTGGAAATGGAGATTGGATCGTCGCTAACTCATGTGATGCTCGTGTCTTTCCCAAGCCAAGGTCACATAAACCCTCTTCTTCGTCTAGGAAAGCTCATTGCCTCCAAAGGCTTGCTCGTCACCTTTGTCACCACAGAGGAGCCATTGGGCAAGAAGATGCGTCAAGCCAACAATATTCAAGACGGTGTTCTTAAACCAGTCGGTTTAGGTTTCCTCCGGTTTGAGTTCTTTAACGTTGGATGTGTATACAAAGACGACAGTGATTTGCTCCTGAATTGGCTTGAAGTTTCCGGGAAACGAGAGATCAAGAATCTGGTCAAGAAGTATGAGAAGCAACCTGTGAGTTGTCTCATAAATAACGTTTTTATCCCATGGGTTTGTGACGTAGCCGAGGAGCTTCATATCCCTTCTGCTGTCCTATGGGTCCAGTCTTGTGCTTGCCTCGCCGCTTATTACTACTCCCACCATAAGTTAGTCAAGTTTCCGACCGAAACAGATCCGGAGATCACCATTGAAGTCCCATTCAAGCCATTAGCGTTGAAGCATGACGAGATCCCTAGCTTTCTCCACCCTTCATCTAAGTATTCCACTTTCGGTGATATCATTTTAGAACAGATCAAACGACTTCACAAGCCTTTCTCTGTTCTCGTCGACACTTTTCAAGAACTGGAAAGAGATACTATTGACCACATGTCAAAGCTATGCCCTCAAGTCACCATCAACCCCATCGGTCCACTCTTCATGATGGCCAAAACCACAAACTCTGACATTAAGGGAGATATCTCCGAGCCAGCCAGTGACTGCATAGAGTGGCTTGACTCAAGAGAATCATCCTCCGTTGTTTACATCTCATTTGGGACTGTGGCTTACTTGAAGCAAGAGCAAATCGAGGAGATTGCTCACGGCATACTAAACTCCGGGTTGTCTTGCTTATGGGTCGTACGGCCTCCTTTAGAAGGTTTATCCCAAGAACCACAAGTTTTGCCTCGAGAGCTTGAAGAGAAAGGGAAGATCGTGGAATGGTGTCCACAAGAGAAAGTCTTGGCTCATCCTGCGGTTGCTTGCTTCATAAGTCATTGCGGATGGAACTCAACCATGGAGGCTTTAACTCTAGGAGTTCCTGTAATTTGTTTTCCGCAGTGGGGGGATCAGGTGACAAATGCAGTGTACTTGATTGATGTTTTCAAGACAGGAGTGAGACTCAGCCGTGGAGAGGCTGAGAAGAGGATCGTTTTAAAGGAAGAGGTGACTGAGCGACTGCTTGAGGCCACAGTTGGAGAGAAGGCGGTGGAGCTGAGAGAAAACGCTAAGAGGTGGAAGGAGGCCGCGGAGTCTGCCGTGGCATACGGAGGATCATCTGAGAGGAACTTTCAAGAGTTTGTTGACAACTTGGTTGTTGTATGAAGACTATGTCAAACCTTACTTAATAAGGTCTCCTTTGTATTAACGTTTTTGCAGTGTTGTCTATCAGTTCATATGTTACACGTGTATAGCTTATAGCTTATGTATCTTATTATCCAATGGTGGAAGGATTATGTTGGTACCTTTCATGGAAGTTGATTATAAATCATTCAAAAATTCAAATGAACTTTTTAATCTACTTGGTGATGCACTGACTATATATTGTACTTGGGACATTGATGAACATTTGATACTTTTTAAAGTTGTAAAATACAATAAACAAAACTAAGATTTAAAAAATATAAAAATATATATTTATATAGAGATTTTGGTATGCATGGTTCAAGATATTAATTACGACGATTTTCTCTGTATTTATTTTTTTGTCAACGATTTTCTATTTTCTTGAGTTGAAAACACTTAACATTATTGAACCACCTCACGTGTATGATTTCGTGCCACTCCTTTTACTACTTTATCTACTATCTACATGCATATCATGCGTTCCGACCAAAATGATGTCGAATCTAATATGTCGAATAGACAAAAGAGGCAGTGTGAATGTGTGATTACTACGGCCCAATACAAATCACATTCAACTTTTTGATCAAGTCATATAACTAAGTCAATTTGATCTATAGACACAAAAACTAACTACAAAATTCATACCTGAAATTTTGATTATGCACAATTCTTCTATAAACAATTCTCTACCCATTTAGTAAAGAGAAGAGGTGGAGTCATCATTGTTTGAAGAAAAGATCAATCTATAGTGAAAGAGTCATATTAGAATCTTACATATTTTATACTTACGTTCAATTGATAAAATCATGTTGTCCGGATCAAAATCCGAATCTCAATTAAAAAGAAAATTAGATAAATTAGGATTAAGTCTCATATCGCATTGGAAAGTTGGTTTTTGTGGGATAGCTCTAGAGAGTTAACGACAAAAAAAAAGATTAAAAATAAAAAGTGATCTGTTCAACAAGTTTATCAGATTATAAATTATAGTCACGTACTTGTTTTTAATCCAAGCATGTTAATTTTGGGGTTTTTGTCAACATCATCTCTAGAGTTCTTAACTGATCTCGTGGGTTTATATTTTCTAATTATACCATTAAAATAATCAAAGTAGGTAAATCGTTGAAAAAATAAACCAAGTAGGTGATCTCCTCACGTATTTTATCTTCTAGTTTTCTCTTCTTTTCTTAGGTCTCTTTGTTAAAAAGTTTTATCTATTATAAAACAAATTAATCAAGTATTTTGTTACCTTTTTTCTTAAATAAAATAAAATTTCCTACTAGTGTAAAATCAAATAAAATTAGTAAAATATTATCGACATGGGAAACATGTAAGGGTATTATAAGCCGCTGTGACACTTGACAGGCCTGTTGTACCAAACCTCACATAATTATAATAATTAAGGGTGGCCAACTTTGAAATGGTGATCTAAAGAAGACAACATATATGTATATCTACTAAATTAGTCTTGCACAAAAAAAAAAAAAAAAAGTGGAAATGGAGATGGAACCGTCTAGTCTTACTCATGTGATGTTGGTATCTTTCCCAGGCCAAGGTCACATAAACCCTCTCCTTCGTCTAGGAAAGCTCATAGCCTCTAAAGGCTTACTCGTCACCTTTGTCACCACAGAGGAGCCATACGGGAAAAAGATGCGTGAAGCCAACAATATTCAAGACGGTATTCTTAAACCAGTCGGTTTAGGTTTCATCCAGTTTGAGTTCTTTGACGTTGGATACGTCTACAATGGCGACTTTGATGTTTTCCTGAAAACGCTTGAAATTTCCGGGAAACGAGAGATCAAGAATCTGGTCAAGAAGTATGAGAAGCAACCAGTGAGTTGTCTCATAAATAACGCTTTTGTCCCATGGGTGTGTGACGTAGCCGAGGAGCTTCAAATCCCTTCGGCTGTCCTATGGGTCCAGTCTTGTGCTTGTCTCGCTGCTTATTACTATTACAACCATCAGTTAGTTAAGTTTCCGACCGAAACAGAGCCGGAGATCACCATTGATGTCCCATTCAAGCCATTAGCGCTGAAGCATGACGAGATCCCTAGCTTTCTCCACCCTTCCTCTCCGCTTCGAAATTTGGGAGGTATTATTTTAGAACAGATCGAGCGTCTTCACAAGCCTTTCTCTGTTCTCATTGACACTTTTCAAGAACTGGAAAGTGACACTATTGACCATATGTCCCAGCTCTGCCCTCAAGTCCTCATCAAACCTATAGGTCCGCTTTTTACGGTGGCTAAAACCATAAGCTCTGACATTAAGGGAGATATCTCCGAGCCAGCCAGTGACTGCATAGAGTGGCTTGACTCGAGAGAACCATCCTCTGTCGTTTATGTGTCTTTTGGGACGCTGGCTTACTTGAAGCAAGAGCAGATCGAGGAGATTGCTCAGGGCATTCTAAACTCTGGTTTGTCCTGCTTATGGGTTGTGCGGCCTGCTGTAAAAGTGTTATCCCAAGAACCACAAGTTTTGCCTCGAGAGCTTGAAGAGAAAGGGAAGATCGTGGAATGGTGTCCACAAGAGAAAGTCTTGGCTCATCCTGCGGTTGCTTGCTTCATAAGTCATTGCGGATGGAACTCAACCATGGAGGCTTTAACTCTAGGAGTTCCTGTAATTTGTTTTCCGCAGTGGGGGGATCAGGTGACAAATGCAGTGTACTTGATTGATGTTTTCAAGACAGGAGTGAGACTCAGCCGTGGAGAGGCTGAGAAGAGGATCGTTTTAAAGGAAGAGGTGACTGAGCGACTGCTTGAGGCCACAGTTGGAGAGAAGGCGGTGGAGCTGAGAGAAAATGCTAGGAGGTGGAAGGAGGAGGCTGAGTCTGCCGTGGCATACGGAGGATCATCTGAGAGGAACTTTCAAGAGTTTGTTGACAAATTGATTGATGTTAAGACAATGTTAAATATTACTAATGTCTCCAGTTAATCTTGTTTCCGGTGTTGTCTATACCAAATTTAAATTCTCTATTGATTGTTCTTTACATAATTTAGAGATTATTTATTTCTTTTTTGAGGAAAAAAACTAGATTGACATAGATTTAAAGATAATTACTAAACTAACTAACTAACTCATAAAATATATGGGTTAGTTGAGTTCTTTTCATGACTAAAATAATTTTTTTTTGCTTTGTTTGGGGAAGAAATCAACATTATCTTTAAAAAATTCTAGCGATTTTGAAAAAAAAAATAAAAATAATTTCAAAATCTCTCGGACTACTTGCTACGGATTTGTTTATGAATGACAGATTTTTTTTTGCAGATTTATTTAGACAACAGATTTTTTTTTATATAGTGACAGATTTATAATTAGTGACATATTTAATTTTTACGACAGATTTATCAATGGATATAATGTAAAATCTATTTAAAATAGCTTGATTAGTTCTCAGCAACCATTTCCTTCCACAAAGTCAAAAAGTCAACCAATACGTTTAAACCAATAGAATCTTAAATATTGGTATTTATGGAATTAATATTGGTTCATAGTTATGCTTATGCAATACATATGATACTAGGGATGAATTGCTTTTCAAATTTTCGAGGTGAAATCATTCAACTACATCGTCTTGCCTTGAGAGCCCCGAAGAGATAGGGATAATCGTGGAATGGTGTCCAACAGAGAAAGTGTTGGCTTGTCATGCAGTTCCTTGCTTCTTAAGCCACTACGTATTTGTGGATTCAGGTGAAAACGTTGATGAGATCGAGAAAATATAACCAAAAAAAAACAAAAAAAATCTTAGTTGAATACTCTTAAGGGTTTCTAATTTGTATGAATCAAGAGAATAGTAATTTACAGATCCTGATACACCTTGATGTAACTTCAAACCCCAAAACTACTACGAAAGGAAAATTAAAACCCCGGTTCAGCTCCATCTGCAACCAAGCAGACCACTCCTATGATGGTGGCATCAGTCAATGGTTTGCCATAGTTTCTTCATAGTTTCTTCCAAGTGTATCTCAAAAAGAAAATATTTTATAGCCTTTCTACCTCTTCTGCTCTCTAATTTCAGAAACTTTTTTCATTACATGAATCTTCAATGATTGCATAGTTACAAATATATCATTAGATGCATCAAATGTATGTTGCATGCACCAATATAAATTGAACAAGTGTACCTTGATAAGTGTATTATAGGTTTTGTAAGTAATAAAAATGTTGGTTAAGATAGGAAATTATTAGGAGATCTCGGAGATACGAGATCGAGTTAAATGGAAACTGATATTTGTGTATATCTAAAATAGGTAGATTCACTATTATCATATATGTAAATAATTTGGTAATCAAGTTTGAGACTTTGTATAAATAAGCCTAAAATCTAATGAATAAATTGAGAGAAACTATTTCACTTCTAAGGTTTTCTCCAAACTTATCAAAAATGAAAAATGCATAAGAGATATAGTGAAATGTTTGGTGAATTTGATCCAGTAATACGGATCAATCACACTAGGCGTAATAATTAATAATTGTAACTAAAAAATAAAAGTCAAATCAGAGATTGCGTATGGAATCAAGTCCTAGTATGAAACAAACATTCATAAAACGATGGAACCCAACAAAGTGTCGAAAGAGACATGCATGTATGGTCCCGGACATAATTGTGATCGTCCAAAATTGTACGAAGAGATAATGTACTTGAAACAAGACGTCTAGATTCTTTACTCTGGTTGCGTTTTTGTGTTTGCTTCTCTTGCCATCATATGTTTATTTATTTTCGTATAGTGTTTTGGTCTTTTCTGCTATAAGTCAATCATTGTAAATGCTTCTATCAAAAATGTTAAAAAAAAAAAAAAAGTGTACATTCTGGCCACTAGTTTTGCTAGTTTCTGTGGAAATTTGTTCACATAAATTGGAGAGTGTAACGAAAACAAAACCAGTTTCCTTTATAGAAAATAGAATCCAATGGAACCGTCTATAGCTAGTCTTACTCATGTGATGCTCGTGTCTTTCCCAGGCCAAGGTCACATAAACCCTCTTCTGCGTCTGGGAAAGCTCATTGCTTCCAAAGGCTTACTCGTTACCTTTGTCACTACGGAGGAGCCATTGGGCAAGAAGATGCGTCAAGCCAACAAGATTCAAGACGGTGTTCTTAAACCAGTCGGCCTAGGTTTCCTCCGGTTTGAGTTCTTTAACGTTGGGTGTGTATACAAAGAAGACAGTGATTTGCTCCTGAATTGGCTTGAAGTTTCCGGGAAACGAGAGATCAAGAATCTGGTAAAGAAGTATGAGAAGCAACCAGTAAGGTGTCTCATAAATAACGTTTTTATCCCATGGGTTTGTGACGTAGCCGAGGAGCTTCATATCCCTTCTGCTGTCCTATGGGTCCAGTCTTGTGCTTGTCTCGCCGCTTATTACTATTACAACCATCAGTTAGTTAAGTTTCCGACCAAAACCGAGCCGGAGATAACCATTGAAGTCCCTTTCAAGCCATTAGCGTTGAAGCATGACGAGATCCCTAGCTTTCTCCACCCTTCATCTATGCATTCCATTTTCGGTGGTATCATTTTAGAACAGATCAAGCGACTTCACAAGCCTTTCTCTGTTCTCATCGACACTTTTCAAGAACTGGAAAGAGATACTATTGACCACATGTCAAAGCTCTGCCCTCAAGTCATCATCAACCCCATCGGTCCACTCTTCATGATGGCCAAAACCACAAACTCTGACATTAAGGGAGACATCTCCGAGCCAGCCAGTGACTGCATAGAGTGGCTTGACTCGAGAGAACCATCCTCCGTTGTTTACATCTCCTTTGGGACTGTGGCTTACTTGAAGCAAGAGCAAATCGAGGAGATTGCTCACGGTATTCTAAACTCCGGGTTGTCCTGCTTATGGGTTGTGCGGCCTCCTTTAGAAGGTGTTTCCCAAGAGCCACAAGTTCTGCCTCGAGAGCTTGAAGAGAAGGGGAAGATCGTGGAATGGTGTCCACAAGAGAAAGTCTTAGCTCATCCTGCGGTTGCTTGTTTCTTAAGTCATTGCGGATGGAACTCAACCATGGAGGCTTTAACTTCAGGAGTTCCGGTTATTTGCTTCCCGCAGTGGGGTGATCAGGTGACAAATGCAGTGTACATTATTGATGTTTTCAAGACAGGAGTGAGACTCAGCCGAGGAGAGGCTGAGGAGAGGATTGTTCCAAGGGAAGAGGTGGCTGAGAGACTGCTTGAGGCCACAGTTGGAGAGAAGACGGTAGAGCTGAGAGAAAACGCTCGGAGGTGGAAGGAGGACGCTGAGTCTGCTGTGACAAACGGTGGATCTTCCCAGAGGAACTTTCAAGAATTTGTTGACAAGTTGCTTTCTTTAAATACAGCGAAAAACACTAATAATGCCACGTAAGTCGTAATTATCATACGATGCATGTTATTTATTATAGTAATCTTTTGTATTCTTTATCTAAGAACAAGTTGTTTACGACGTACAATCCCAATGATCAATGATCCATGCAAGATTTTATCATTTAACTTTTATTCGTTAACTTAACCATTTAATATTTTCAATACCTTCCTTTAACATTTAATTTAACTTGTCACAAGCTACTTAACACATTCACGCCATTCCAACCATATAATTTCTAGCAACATATCACATTCACTGACAAATGAAAACATGCATCCAAGAACGCAAAGAACAATGTCGGTATTCTCGGATACCAGAAGAACATCATTGATTATCCAACTTATTCGTTACACGTCCTTGAGTGCATAAACTTGTGCTATCCCATCTACTTTTTTACCATACAACAAACAATTTGCTAACAAGCAAGTAAATAAACATAAACATATAAGAAAACCAATGTAAATAAAACTCGTACAGTGGCAATAGATATCGTCGAAGATTTTACGAAGAGATAAAAGACAAAGGAAGAAGACGTGTTTGATTTAGGCCACTCCTTTTGCTACTTTCTCTTGTTGTTTTTGTATAATGTGCATGTTCACACACCCATATATATTGGACAGTGTAAAGAAAATAAAATCAGTTTCTAGTTTCCTTGAAGAAAGTTAATAGATATCCATGGAACCGTCTCGTCTTGCTCATGTGATGCTCGTGTCTTTCCCAGGCCAAGGTCACATAAACCCTCTTCTTCGTCTAGGAAAGCTCATAGCCTCTAAAGGCTTACTCGTCACCTTTGTCACCACAGAGCAGCCATGGGGCAAAAAGATGCGTCAAGCCAACAAGATTCAAGAGGGCGTGCTCAAACCTGTCGGTCTAGGCTTCATCAGGTTCGTGTTCTTCTCTGATGGTTTAACTGACAAGGACGAAAAAAGAGCCGACTTCAATGCCTTCCGACCACACCTTGAAGCTGTCGGAAAACAAGAGATCAAGAATCTCGTGAAGAGATATAACAAGGAACCGGTGACGTGTCTTATAAACAACGCTTATGTGCCGTGGGTATGTGACGTGGCCGAGGAGCTTCAAATCCCTTCGGCTGTTCTATGGGTCCAGTCTTGCGCTTGCCTTGCCGCTTATTACTATTACCACCACCGGTTAGTTAAGTTTCCTACAGAAACTGAGCCAGACCTCAATGTTGAAATCCCCTGCTTGCCATTATTGAAGCATGACGAGTTCCCAAGCTTTCTTCACCCTTCGTCTCCCTATAAAGCCTACGGAGAAGTCATTTTAGACCAGCTCAAGCGACTCGAAAACGACAAGCCTTTCTATCTTTTCATCGACACTTTTTACGAACTTGAAAAAGATATCATCGACCACATGTCAGACCTTTTTCCTCAAGCCATCTTTAGCCCTGTCGGTCCACTCTTCAAGATGGCTCAAACCATAGGCTCTGACGTTAAGGGAGATATCTCTGAGCCAACTACTGACTCCGTAGAGTGGCTTGACTCGAGAGAACCATCCTCAGTCGTTTACGTCTCCTTTGGGACTATAGTCGGCTTGAAGCAAGATCAGATGGAGGAGATCGCTCATGGCATTTTGAGCACTGGCTTGTCGTTCTTATGGGTTGTTCGACCTCCAATGGAAGGGTCACTTGTCGAACCATATGTTTTGCCTCGTGAACTTGAAGAAAAGGGTAAAATCGTGGAATGGTGTTCACAAGAGAAAGTGTTAGGTCATCCTGCAATTTCTTGCTTCTTAAGTCACTGTGGATGGAACTCGACGATGGAGGCTTTAACTTCGGGAGTCCCTGTGGTTTGCTTTCCACAATGGGGTGATCAAGTAACTGATGCAGTTTACTTGGTTGACGTTTTCAAGACAGGAGTGAGACTAGGCCGCGGAGCTGCTGAGAAAAAGGTTGTTCCCAGGGAGGTTGTGGCGGAGAAGCTGCTTGAGGCCACCGTGGGAGAGCACGCGGCAGAGCTGAGAGAAAACGCTCAGAGATGGAAGAAGGAAGCGGAGACCGCCGTGGCGTACGGTGGATCATCTGATAGGAACTTTAGAGAGTTTGTCGACAAGTTGGTTACGAAACATGTGACAAGAGAAGACAACAGAAAAGACTAGTGATAAAACAATGTCTCGTAAATGTCCAAATGTTAATGTACCCCTAAAACATAAACCACCACAAACATATGATAAGAACATTTTCTAGATTTCAACAATGATCTTATCATATGTTTTGTTCCTTTTCTTCCGCTAAAAAGCATATCAATCTAATCTGATGACTATGGTGATCTATATATATTTTACTATTTTCATAAATTCTTCCATATATACAATAAGCTAGATGTACATCTCTTTAAATCGAGTATTAGTTATGATTCCAAAGTTCATATACGAAACATATTTCGTTAGTGGTTCATCTCATTTTTTAGATGAATTATATCTTGTTGACTCCTCATAAATTCAACTATATGTTTTTTTGGTGTGATATGTGAAATTTTCTTCTATATATATATATATACATAATGAATAAAATGATAATAGATGAGAGTAAGAACATATTAGAAAGTTCAAACTCTTATGAAACAATGTTTTAACATGTTAGACTAAGTGCATCAGCGTCACTTGGGCTCCGTCTCCCACCAATTTTGTTTAGGAATAAATCCAAAAGAAAAAAATCAAAGCGGGATGTACCCAATATCGCGACATTCCTTGGTTTTCTATCTCACTATTCGCGGGCCCTACTGACACGTGCCGGCTCGCGATTAGTTAGTTTTTAAAAAATAAAAAATCTAAAAATAAAAAATAAAAAAAATTCACTGGGACCAAAAATGGTCTCTCACCGCTGCACATGTCCTTAGAGCAACTACAAGAGTAGAGAAACTCTTTTAAGTATATCATCAATAAAATACCAATATCTTTAATATTATTTAGTTATGTTTCTTAATTTTACTTTTTAAAATTAAATTGACTATTAAAAACATGACATGTGTTAATATGGATTTCTCTAAATATATTTAGAAGTTCTAAAGTCTTTTCTTAGAAAACCGATTTCTTGCAAAAAAAAATTCTCTCACATACTTTTCAATATTTTATTAATTTAATTTTTTAAAATTTTTATAGGATAGAACTCCCGTTGGAAATGACCTTAATATAAAAATAGGACATTTTCAGCACCATTTTTATCAGAATGGGAAAAAAACATTTTAAACCATTTCAAATGGTAGTAGGAAAAGAGGTTATCAAAAATTAATAAAATACAGATACTAGTTTTATATTAGTTTTTTGTTGTCTTTTTTGTCAGCAAGTTTTATATTAGTCGTAGTTCTTAAAACATAGAGGAATTTAGATTTACAAAACAAAAAAACATAGAGGAATTTATCTAATGAGTTTCTTATGTTTTGTGAACCCCAAGTCACCCCAACTAATATATAAAAAAATCAATATTTGAATAAAATTTGTATTTTATTTGTTTTTTTAAATGTCATTTCCACGTATTACCACCAATGGAATCAAAATAAATGGTCTTTAATCTATGTATGCAAAAGTAGATAAAAACAAATATTTTTTTCCATGTAATTTCTGTCCACCGGTTTAAAGTTGTATATCAAGGAAGTTAGTTAGGTTATAAGCTTTTGTTATATAATTTGGACATCTAATATCTTTCTAACTATACAAATTACTTTGGTTTCTAATACTCGTTTCCACTGTCCCACTAGAAATGTATAGGATCCTTCTAATTTATGTGGACACTATTTGGACACACGTCCGACTTGTCTCTAAGTAAGGTGGATATAACAGTTAGACCCATTTATTGTGCAAAGCCTCATATGAAACTAATAATTTATATTATGAATAAGTATGCATTTACTAATGTAAACATCTCTCATTTAATATCCTAACAAATCAAAGTTATTGATGATCAATGTACGTATGCGTGGCAAGAAAATAACACATGGATGCAAATTGTGAGAGACGATGGTGGTAAGTAAGATGTGTGGTAGAGAGAATGAGTGACGTTAATATAAATTAAAAACTATTTGTATTTGAAAATCTACAAAAACATAAGCAATTAATAAACATTCTTTTTATCCACCAAAAATATATGGGATCCGATTCGGACATGGTGTTGGAACATTCTCCATCGACAAAGCCAGTTCATGTAATGCTCGTGTCGTTTCAAGGACAAGGCCACGTCAACCCTCTACTTCGTCTCGGCAAGCTAATTGCTTCCAAGGGTTTACTCGTTACCTTCGTCACTAATGAGCTTTGGGGAAAGAAAATGAGACTAGCCAACAAGATCGTTGACGGTGAGCTTAAACCGGTTGGTTCCGGTTCAATCCGGTTTGAGTTTTTCGACGACGAATGGGCAGAGGACGATGACCGGAGAGCTGATTTCATTGTGTACATTCGACACCTCGAGAGCGTTGGGATACGAGAAGTGTCGAAACTCGTGAGAAGATACAGAGAAGCGAACGAGCCTGTCTCTTGTCTGATCAATAACCCGTTCATCCCATGGGTTTGCCACGTAGCGGAAGAGTTTAACATTCCCTGTGCGGTTCTTTGGGTTCAGTCTTGTGCTTGTTTCTCTGCTTATTACCATTACCAAGATGGATCTGTTTCTTTCCCTACAGAGACAGAACCTGAGCTCGATGTTAAGCTCCCTGGTGTTCCTGTCTTGAATCACGAAGAGATCCCTAGCTTTCTCCATCCTTCTTCTGAGTTCATCGGTTTGCGGCAAGCGATTCTTGGACAGTTCAAGAATCTTAGCAAGTCTTTCTGCGTCCTGATCGATTCTTTCGACGTCTTGGAACAAGAAGTTCTTGATTACATGTCCACTCTTTGTCCGGTAAAAACCATTGGACCGCTTTTTAAAGTCGCTAAAACCATTACTTCTGATGTAAGCGGCGACATTTGCAAACCGGCGGATCAGTGCCTCGAATGGTTAGACTCGAGGCCTAAATCATCCGTTGTCTACATTTCTTTCGGGACTGTTGCGTATTTAAGGCAAGAACAGATCGAGGAGATCGCTCATGGGGTTTTGATATCAGGTTTATCGTTCTTATGGGTGATTAGACCTCCACCGCATGATTTCAAAGTCGAGGCCCATGTATTGCCGCAAGAAATCAAAGAAAGTAGTGTCAAAGGTAATGGGATGATTGTGGATTGGTGTCCACAGGAGCAAGTCTTGGCTCATCCTTCAGTGGCATGTTTCGTGACTCATTGTGGATGGAACTCGACGATGGAGTCTTTGTCTTTGGGGGTCCCGATGGTTTGTTGTCCGCTGTGGGGAGATCAGGTGACCAATGCGGTGCATCTTATTGATGTTTTTAAGACCGGAGTTAGGCTTGGCCGTGGAGCGACAGAGAAGAGGGTTGTGCCTAGGGAAGAAGTGGCAGAGAAGCTTTTGGAAGCGACAGTTGGGGAGAAGGCAGAGGAGTTGAAGAAGAATGCTCTGAAATGGAAGGCGGAGGCGGAAGCCGCCGTGGCTCCAGGAGGTTCGTCGGAGAAGAATTTTAAGGAGTTTGTAGAGAAGTTAGGGGTGGGAATATCCAAAAGTTAAAGGAGAACGGAAACTAGACAAAGAGGCTGTCTTATCATTTTTTCATCTAAGTGAATCTTTCTGTGGTGGATTGGGAAGTTAAAATTTTCTGTCTTTGTTAATCACGGTGTAATTAATTATTAATTCAATGTTGGAATCAATAAATTGTTAATGCTGCTTGATAGGGATCACATTAATAATGATACAAAAACCAGCAAATGTTCGAAACCAAACAATATCAGGTGCATTATATCTTATACTAAGAGTTTTCCATCCATGTACAAACAATTCACAAAAATGTTATAAATACGAAGTTAACAAAACAAAAGAAAAAACAATTGTCTTTCTAAGTTATGTTTGGAGTAAGTTATGCCTTTATTAACTAAACACAAGCCTTCGAAACTGACCTTGAAATTACGACGATCTACAGATCCATACAGAGATAAGTGATAACCGATCCAGCTCTTCTTGTTGTCCTCTCGCTCACTTTCCATTTCTCTATCAACACCTTTTTGATGTGCGGACAGCTTGAGACGACAGTAGCCACTCCAACCGAAGTGATCCCTGGACAGTAAACCATGTGACAACTCTCCAGAAGTGTGCACTTCTGTACCAGATGATTCAGACCAGAGTCTGTTATATTGTGGCAATGAGACAAGACCACGTCTTTCAGCATTGGGCATCCTTCTCCAAGCTCTACCAATGGCATGTCTCCAATGTTCTGAATATTTTTTTGTGATCAGACTCAAGCTTGAGATCACAATAACAACAAACACACTATTGTCTTAAGAAAAGAAGGTTGTGTCTAATTACCTGAAGAACACTAATGTCGAGGTGAGTAAGTTGAGGACAGCCTTTGGCGATTGCTGAGATTCCAGCATCGCTGATGTGATTACAACCACTTACGTTTAGTTGCTGTAAGGAACAACCTTTTCCAATGGCGATTAGTGCTTGATCTCCAACTCTGGATAAGATAAAACAAACAATTAGCTTTTGTCCCGGTACTGTTTAAGAAACAAGATTCAAAAGAGTTGCAGGGTTTACTTATCGCAAAATCGGAGACTAAGCTCAGTTAGTGATTTGCAATGCTTTCCAATAGCTATAATTCCTTTGTTCCCAATCTACACAAAGAAAACCGCAAATAACAGTTTCAGTGACTATAGATCTAGGAGGATACTTTATTTCAAGAGATGAGAGATTATGCCTCATAGCATCTGCGGATATGGAGTTTCTTGAGGTTGCGACAGCCTTTAGCAATGCTGCACATTGCGTTGTCTCCAATGCCTGAGCAGTCTACTAACTGAAGTATTTCTAGGGATTTACAGCCTTTTCCAATTTCTTGAAGAGCAGAATTACCAATCCTTTGGCAGTACAATAAAGCTAACTCGTTGAGGCGCCTACATACACCCAGAAATAACGGTTTAATCAATGATCCAGCCTATAGTCAATTAAGATGCAGTTAACAAGAAATAAAGAAAGAGAGAAAGAAAATGTACGGGCAAGATTTTCCAACTGCCTCTACTCCATAGGTACCAATGTTGTGGCATCCATTAATTTCTATACGTGTAAGTTCTTTGCAACCATTAGCAATAGCTTCTAAACCTTTGCAAGTCACAAAGTAGCAATCACTTAGAGTGAGATTCTTCAACTTCTTACACCCTTTACCAATGGCCCGCATGCCCCTGAAATACAAAATAACATCAAGTAAATATCCTATGCAAAGCCATCACTTAATGTCAGGCAAGTGTCCTTCCATGTCCTTCATATGGTCAACCCAACATTTGGCACATCTTTATTTTACATGTCTTATACCCTCACGCAATATTTTGACAAGATAACATCTAACAAAAGCACATTATGAAAGACAAGAGCAAAAGCCTGGTTTTCCTGATCCCTTGACTTGTCTAACAGTTAAATTACACACCAGAAAGATTGTATTTCTCCCATAAGAAAAGTCAAAGATACTAAAAAGGAACAGGATCACTAACTTGTCAGTAAAATGCTGAAAGCTATACAAAGCCAATCGCTCCAACGAAGTACACAAGTCCCCCACTGCGCCAAATGCCTTATCCGTCACACCAACACATTGAAGCTTCAGATCTTTCAAACGGTTACATCCCTGAGCCACTGCTATCAATCCTTTATCATGAATGTATTCAGAATCCAGAAACAAAACTTCAAGTAATTTACAGTGAGAACCAACTGCTTCCAGAGATAAATCTGTTATTTTATTCGAGGCAGCAACACCAATAGACTTCAAGGACTTGGCACAACCAACAACTAGATCAATAACTCCAATATCAGTTAAGCCTTCGCAAAAACGCAGGTTTAGTTCTTCGAGTTGCTTACAAAATTTTCCAACAGCTGCTAAGCCTTTATCTCCAACAAAGCAACCCTAAACACCACATCCTAAGCATATGAGATTATATTTTTTATCAAGAGGAATATATGAAAAGATTATAATCAGTTCTACATAAGCAAGAATCGCTGTTACAGGCTGAGAGGAGAGGCATATACATTTACTGAATGATCAAGAGTATCTGAATAGAAAAACTATGAACATGATTAAAGCTATCCATATATCCGACAATTTGAGCTACTTCTCATAAAAGGAAACAATCTGGGATCCATGCAACCTGAGATAACAAGGAATTACTTCCAAAAATATATCAACTAAGTTACTCAAAGCCAACTAAGGATACAAATATTCCTCATACATTTGTTTTACCTAGATAGTTGAATACCGCATTTACTTCAAAAATAGATTTTGTATATAATTTTTCAATCAGAAAGACCAAGTGTAGTTAATATCTACCTAAAACATACGAGGGACAAAAATTACCTGCAAATCCAGAGATCTGAGTGAAGTGCACTTCTCAGCTAAGGAATGCAAACCCGCACTTGAAACATTAGGGCACCATATCAAGCTCAAGTTTTCTATTCTTGGAAATCCATTGGCAAGAGCAGTCAATCCCACATCAGTCAAGCTGCAAGACTCGACGTTCTCAGCTGCAGAATGTGTCTTAGCATTCAATTTTTTACGCTTACTTGACGAGGGGGATGAACTGTTCCTCCCACGTTTTCTAATCTGCAAAATAATTGAGGAACGAGAAGGATAAATCTATCTAGCAATTACACTAAAAGCAATTCACACATTCTCCAGAAATGGGATCAATGTAGAAAAACAAAAGCAGTATGATGAATACATTCTTCAGAAATGGGATCAATCTAATACAATGATGAATACATTCTCCAAAAATGGGATCAATCTAATACAGTATCAAGATACAATCCAGAATCCTAATTTCAACAAAACCAAATTCAAATCCAGATCCAAACAAAATTTGACATTCAATCAAATTATCTAAGCAGAATTCAATCTTGAATCGTAGAGTCACAGATCAATCAAACACCACTAAATCCAGTAACAATCCTAGATCCGATCCCAAACTAACAGAACAATTTATCGATGAGGGAAACATTACGGGGGAAGGAGAGAGGGAAGGGAGGGTGACGGAGAGACGCTCGTCGACATGGATAGAGGTAATATGAAGAAAACGGCGAGAGAGGAGAGATACGAACTCGTCGGGAGAAAAGGAAGCTCCGATACGAAGCGTGGTGCGGCTAAAGCGCTCGAGAGATAGCCATCGTTTGCAGACGAGTGAGCAAGCGTCGCGGCTGGGTTTCGATTCAAGTCGTCGGAATATCTCGAGGATTATTTCCTCCGGTAAGCTATTGTTGATCCAATCGTGACCTCTCATGATTCAAAGAGAGAGAGAGAGAGAGATTGTAGTTGAAATCTTTGGTTGTATGATCTTCTTCGTCTGTAATGGCGGATCGGTGGGTGAAGATGAGGTTTGGGTCGGTAAGAGTTTTTTTTTTTTTTTTTTTTATGTGTGTCACAGTGTCAGTGTTATGTATTTATGAGGTCGTAAAAAATAAAAAAGAGTACAGTAAGACATAAAAATTCCGCCAAAATTATCATTTGTTTCAACTTGAAAAATCAGGCTTTTCTTGATTTTGTTTACACAATCGTTTAACCCACATAGCATCATCATATACTAAATTCTCCAAACAGAAGTAAGATATACACACAAATGTAAATCGCATAAAGGCATTGGGTTACGCTTTTTAGTTATAAATTCCATCACTGAAAAACATCATCTTTATGACCCCTTTCAGTTGTCGCCTTGCCTAAGCACACGCAATATGGTCAAGAAGAGGTTGAGGATGTCCAAGTAGAGAGCCACTGATGCGAGGATGTATTCGTCATATGTGAAACGCTTGATTAGATTGTCGGTATCGTAGACTATGTATCCGCAGAATACCAATGCGCTGATTCCTCCATATACGGCAATAGAAGTCGGCCCAAGAGGGAAGAACATCTGCAATATTATGATAATAAAGAAAATCTCAAGGCTTTATATGTATGCATGTGTGAAACTGGGTGTTTGGTTTAGTGGTGAGGAGGGAATATTTTAGAAGACGGACCTGGATGAAGCTTGTTACTACAAGAATGATCAGGCTGGTGAAGAGAATGGGTCCAAGGAAGCTGAAGTCTTTTCCTTTCTTTGCAGCCCAGAAAGTGTATGCGGTTAGAGACCCGACCACAGACAGTGTCAATATCAAAGCTTGGAGGACGATTCTTCCTGGAAATAGAGATTGTTACTAGACTATTAACACATTGCTATTTCAAGTTGTAGGCAAAATGTGTTCTTTGGCAATAAGGTAAGTTAAGAAGTGGCTGGAACTGCAACGGAATAACAGATTGATTGATTACAAACATTTAATTTAAAGGGAAAGAGATATAACCTTCTGTCATAGCACAACTGACACCAACAGTGAAGCTCAATGAGACGGTGAACAGGGCAAGGAGGATCAGGTTAACAGGATGCTTCTGGTGGTAAATGTGCAGAGGCCAGATTACTGCAAACATTATCTCCCAGTAATCAATCACATGAGCAATAAATATTCTCAACAAGTATAAAATAACAGAAACATACATCTCCAGACGTGTGCTAGATAAAATCTTCCACACATCAGAACACAAATTCAAGGTTCTAACAATTACTAACTGAGCACATGATGCCACCAAGAGAACCTTCCAGACAAAAACTAAAAACTATTCTGACTATTGACGCAAGCAAACCAGCACCCAATGAGAGCAAACAAAGCAAACCTCATAAGAGGAAAAGCTAACTGACATATGGGGTTATCGAGCATTTGGTTGGTTTGAGGTCAGAAGGGTAAGGAGATGCTCTAGAATTCTTCCCTTATGTTTCTGATTTGTTCGTCAATCTAAGTTTTTACAAAAACTGAGGTTTAGATTATGCCCTTGAATGGTAGTAGTCCATTCAGTTTTTCTATTAAAAATTGTTAAGTAAACTTGAACGGAGAAAAAATGGGTTTTTGAAAAACAAAATCCAAAATCTATTGTAGAATCTACTTAGCATTCAAGGCCAAAGTAAAACTAGATTCTGAATCCTAACATTAATACACTAGCTATCATCACCTCCAACCAGCATACCTCGAACTATATGACCTAAACCATTAGATTTACAAACACCACAAAAAGATAACAATTCTAGTGTAAACACAATCCACGATGAACAGAATTGCATAATCATAAGGGCTATTAATGTAACACAATGAGAACTAAAGAATTAACAATCGAATCATTCTAGACAGCATCATATGAACCCTAAAACACAAACTAACAATGAATTATACAATTCAACAATTGCATTTCTATTATCTCAACACCACAAAACAAACTACACGAATTCGCCGAAAAATCAGAAATCACATGTCAACAAAACCGTAAGAATTCTAATTACCACATCCAAAAACCTAATATTATAACAAGAAGTGTTTCGAAAGAGATCTACGTACAGATGAAGGGGATGATGCAAAGGAAGAGAAGAATCCCAGGAGATCCGGTCAAGAGATCGTTAACCGGAGGGTTAAGAACAACGACGGCGGAGATAAGAGTCGTAAGAAGAAGCTGAGCGGAGAGAATCCCATAGACCTTACGAATAAACCCCCAACGGAGCTGGTTCTCGCCGTAGCTTAGCCCTGGGTAAAGCGTCGCTTCTCCGACTCCCATCTCGAGATCAATATCCTTCCGATCACGATCTATGCCGCTCATGCTCACGCTCGCGTATCCGTACGGTTTCTCCATAGCTAGATTTGGGGTAAACGAGTCTCTCTTCGAAGCAGATCTGGTTGATTCTTTTTGGGAAGATGAAGAGAAAAAAAAGAAGAACAATTTATATATTTGTCTGTGTTGACGAAGGAGACGAGTCATTTCCTCTAATCTAATGAGATGATGTACATGTGGCAAAATCAACGGTCAAGATTACTTTATGATAACGCGTTGTATCATATCCAATCACCAACGCTGTTTAGTGTTAAGTCTTTTTTTTTTTTTTTTTTGTCAACGCTGTTTAGTGTTAAGTCTTTAAATTAAAAGACTAAACAGAAATGGTTTAATAATAATCAATTAATCACTATGATCAATTAAATATCTTTTAGACTTTTGCCTAATCTTAATTATGCTAATCTCATCTATGAAGTTTAGAATAAAATTGATCGAAAGTATGAGTTTGTGAAAAAACATACATGATACGATAATTGTCATGCATTTTTACCTAAATAATTGAACTGTTCATTTGCAATTTTCCCATGACTTTGTTATTCGTATAACAATAACAACAACATGTGAGTTTTTTTGTGAATGTTATTTACGTTTACATTTAGGGAAGATCAATATCAATTATTATGAATATCAATATTTTGAGGGAAGCCAAAGAGTATTCTAGAATTATTCACAATTTATTTTATCCTAACACAATAAGAGGTTTAAAAAAAGAAAAGCAAGAATTACATGAATCTTGCCTACATATGTGGAGGCTTTTAAGAAGCATCTCACCCAACAATAACTAATATTCTTTTATTTCGTTTTAAGGTAACACAATTTAAGAATCAAAGATAGTGTACGCTTATATATTTTGTGTGTGATAAAGGATGTGTGTATGTTTGATATTACCACCATGAGGATCACGAAGACACGAGCACCCTTTGTTACCAATTATGCCGGGAAACTTGCCGTCCTCCTAATCATCACTTTACTTCTCTTCAAGTGTACCACCGTGGTTGCCAGAGGCGGTCACGGTGGAGGAGGAGGCCATGGTAGTGTAGGAGGTGGTCATGCTAGCGTTGGAGATGGTCATGCTGTTGAAGGAGGAGGCCATGCTGTTGGAGGCGGTGGCGGCCATGGAGAAGAAGAAGAAGGTGGACATGGGATTGGAAGAGGTGGTAGTATGATTCATCGACCTGCGACGAGGAACGGAGGCTCTACGCTATTGACTCCCTTTGCCGATAGATTTGCATCTGCTTTCTTGATCATCACTTTTCTCTATATCTAGATCAACCTCATTGTCTTTGATATGTTGAAAATTTCAGGATTTAAGATTGGTAGGTTTTTTTATTTTCTTATCCTAGTTTCATTTTTCAAGAAGATGTTTGAGTCTTGTGTTGCTTAGACACACGTCTGATGTCGGACATTTTATTGAGTAAAGATTACACATTTGCACATTTTAGTATTTGATCTTACAATCTTTAGATATGAAATTAATCAATACTCGAAAACATACATAAAAGCTGATCATCAATGATAAGAATTGAACAAAGATCACTTTCTTGAAGCATTTTTTAGGATCCCGGATGTGAGTGAAGAGGAAGGAGTGAAAGCTTTGCGGATATTAAAGACATTCCAGGCAGTCCCGGCTGCGTGTCCCACCGTGCCTAGCACATTACTCGTGGCTTCCCCCGCGCTCTCACCTAACCTGTCCATGTTATAAACCTCACTTGTGTGAGACATTTACATTATATATAAACGTAGATGCACAAAAACGCAAACCAAACAACCGAAGAATAAATGAACTCACAACTTTAACTCTAATTAAACTACAATCTTTTTGTTAATTGTAAACGTAAACGCCGATTTATAACAAACAGAACCTTGCCCTGTTTAGACTAAAGATACAATCATTAATGTGGTGCAAAATTGAGGACTTTGAAAGTGAAGCTTACCTCTCAGTAACCATTTTGGTAGTAGCCTTGGACGTAGCAGAAAGACTTTGTCTCTCTGCAGCTTCAGCAGCGTCTAGTAGTTTATCTAGTTAATTTCGATAATCAAAGTTTTAGTACATCATTATAAAGATAATCAAGTGACAGTGAGAAGCCAATAACAACTAATCTGACTTACTAAGAGCATCAAGTGAAGCCAAAAGAACCTCCCCTGGAACCATTGAGAAAAAAGCTTTCCCTGGCTTAGACTTAACAACTGGACCCATCACCGAGCCGCTCACCACTCCCACACCATTCAACATCGTCTTGCTCAATTTCTCGGTCGCTCTCGACAATGTCCTCACTCTATATATGTAGTTACCACCACAAAGATTATGGTTTATAAGAGATAAAAGATACAAAGAACTAGAATAAACCATATCAAATCCAGATTGAATACACCTACAACTACATGAAAGGCATATACTTTGATACTTATGTGAGTGATTATACCGTTGAAGGTTCTTATTGATTTGGTTCTTGTTTCTGGTAGCATTTTTTTGTGACGAGGCACCTTTCTTCTTCTCAGCCTTGGTAATCATAACCTCACCTCCTTTATGAACCTGTTCTCACATTAAAAACAAAAACCAAGATTCAGAAGTTGAGATTAATGTCTATTTTGGGGAAATATAATGATTAATTACAAACCTGATTAGTGTAAGCATTACTGCATTTAAACATCCCTCTAATGATTTGACCTGTACCTCCTGCTATAGCTTTAGCCAAAACATTATTATAATCTTCAATCTTAGGCGCAAACTCTTTCCAATCAATTCCATTGTTGTTAACACGAGACGACGTCGAAGAAGAAGAAGAGGAAGACGAAGAAGAGAAACAAGAGTTCTCTCTCAAGAAATCGTCTAACAACTCAACACTGTTCAAGAACACGACGTCGTTTTCATCAATGGGGAAGAAAGTGACACCGTAGCTAAGTGGCGGCCCGTCTTTAACCGGCAACGTGAAAAGGTAGTCACGTGAATCGAGTTTCACCACTGGCTCGTCTTTAATCACAGGCCATTGTAAGTCATTCCCGATCTTCACGACCATAGCTAAAGCCACACCGTTGTCGAAAACTTGTACAAGCTCGAAGTCTCCGGCGGCGAGCTCCACCGCTTCGGATCCGTCGATGAGATGAGCTCTGCATCCATCAATCTTTAACAACACTTCATCGCTCACTGTTCCGTAAGATGAGTACATGGCGTTGTCTTGTTCTTGTCCATACGAAGATTGTTTTGCTCCAGTTCTTGAAGTCTTTGATCTGAAGAAACTCATTTTTTTTTTACTCTTTTGAGGTTTCTTGATACAATCTCAAGATTGAATTGTTTTCTTTTCTCTTCTTCTTCTGGTTTTAAAAGAAGAATCTTATCGAGTAAGTAAAAAACACAAAAAGAGTTATGTATTAGACAGTGTTTATACACATTTGGTGCTAATCGAGGCAGACTACTTTTTTCAAAGACCCAACCAAGTTCACATTTGTCTTAACTCAGAAATAATAATATTGTTGCCGACATGGCAATTCTTAGGTCGGTATGTTTGGGTATTCGGTTTAGTTTTGGATTAGATTAATTGGGTTTTAGATATTTTGGATAGAGGAGTTTAATTTTGGATAGAGAAGTTTAAGATCCATTTATTAGAAATACTAGATTTTAACCCGCGGTATACCGCGGGGCAAACGTTTTTTCTAATTCTTATTTTATAGTATTGACATATTAACGTATAAATATTTTACCCGTTTTGACATATGAGATTAGTGAGATTTTAATTTTATAGTATTATCAATTCAAACTTGTCCCATCATATAATTTTTATAAGCATATTACAATCCATCCCGTCTTTTATCTCGTCGAGTCATATAATCGTCAAAATTTAATTCAGTTTGTTATGACAAGGTCAAGAATACATTAGTTTAAAATTGGTGAATATTAAAAATATTAATAGCACTAAAACTTTTAATTTTTTTAAAAATATTTCTAATAATTTAAACTTTATATGTACTCTACAACCAATCTCGTCGTACCACCAATCCCTTCATACCACCAATCCCGTCATATAATTCGTTGGAAGCATGTTACAACGTGACCCTTCTCGTCTTGCAACCCGTCCCATCATTTAATCATGGAAAAATTAAGTCCATATTTAAAATTATGGCAAGATTAATAATACTATAATTTAAATTTGGTACAAATTTAAAATATAAAAAAACACTTCAACTTTTAAAATATTTTAAACTTTACATTGTATGTTGTTAATAATCATTCTAGTCTTACAACTTGTTGTTTCGTCATTCAACTTGATAATCACCGAAAAATTCAACTCATATTTAAAGTTAGGGAAAATTTAATAATACTTTAGTTTAAACTTGATGTAGAGTTAAATATTATTAACCCTTCATCTTTTAATAAGTTACAAAAGATTTATAACATTTCAAACTTTATAATATTAATAATAATTCAAATTTTATTTTATAAAAAAAAATTTTAGAATATTTAAACATTCTATAAAGCTTAAATATTTATAATATTTGAACCTCGACACCTTGTAAAAGTTTCAGTATTCATAATAATTTAAGTTTTAAAATTTGAATACTAATAATATTTTGAAACTTTTAAAAACTTTTCATATTTATCTTAATTCATATATTTTTTAAAATTACTAATTGAAAGTACATATGGGAAATGTAATGTATGTCTGTTTTAAATAATTTAAATTGCAACATATGCGAACAAATAGCTTGGAAGTCTACTATCTCTTATGTAACTTTGGAACTTATAATATGTGTGTTAAGAATACATTTTATTTTACTGAGAACTTAAAAGAATATATATAGATTTGCCTAAAAAAAATTGCCATAAGTTATAAGATTTTTCATTTTGAAGGATTAGTAGAGAATTAGCTATTCAAAAAAAATAAAAATAAAAAAAAGTCAAACATACATAACTGACCAAACAAAAATGTTTTTCCTTATGAGGTCCCATATCACACGCTTAAAAAGCAAAATCTGATATACAATTGAGAACTTCATCCATCAAATTCAGTAATCAAAACCAACATCCATCTCTGTTGAATTGATTACCAATTCCAATCTAATGCCAATGAAGATGAGATTCAGTAATCGATATTTTCATTTTCTTTTTGGATCTCTCTCCACTGGGAAGAAGAGATGATCGATTATTGTTTAGACTGGGACGTTGCTTTGGTAAGTTTGAGATGAGAGTAATCGGAAGTATTTATAATGATTTTTAGAAACGGATGATTAGGTAACCGAATCTTCGGCGATCAAAGAGAATTTATTCTGAAAAATTAAAATTATAGAAATCATTAAATAATTGAAAGCTATAAGTGAAAAATCATTTCGAAAATCTCAGAATATTCAGCTCGCAAATCAGCTAATTTTTAGGGATCCTATAAATTAAATTTGTTGAATAATCGTGGAAACAAATTTTAGAAATATTAGAGAATAGTTATTTAAAGCCAATGGCAGGACCTTGTAAATAAGTGAGCTAAGTGAGGGTTTTTTCATAACTGTCTTTAAAAATGTTAATATAGATTGTAATTAATTTTAGTTTATTAAATTTTAATAATTGTCTAAAAATAAAATACTTTGAGATATTTTGTAAATATATAATAAATAACATCCTCCATGAGGATAACCTTACAAGTTCTTAATGGAAATCAGCTGTTAAAAAATAAATAAAAAAAATAAATGACATCTACATAATTAAAATTATATTTTTGGTAAATGGATTATATCAAATCTAAATATTGTATAACTAATAATCTGGTTATTTGAAACTATATTTGGATATTTTGGTTTTCTACTCAATTTCGGGTTTCCCGGTTCTAAAGTTTAGGATTCATTCGGTTAATTATTGCGTTACTTTCGGTTTGGTTGGGTTCCTTTCTTTTCAATTCGGTTCTGGATTTTGCCTGTGACTAGCAATTTGTGTATCTATATATATAAAGTTAACTTTTTCTCTCTTCTCATTAAGTCACATCATCATCCACCTCATTTTATTATTTAATTTTTAAAATTAATTCTACCATTTTATCATTTAATTTTAATATTTAAACCTATGTAAATAAGTTTTTCAAAAATGAATATGAAAAATCTTTTTTTATATTATACATTATAAACTAAAAAAGATAATTGATTAAAAGTTTAAAAAAACTTACTAATTATCGATTATACTAACAAATATATAAATCATAGATTATAGTTTTTAGTGAATGTTTAAAATATATATATATATGATTATATTTACACAATGTAAACCTAAATATAATGGAATTTTACGGGAATAGAACAAAAAGTAAGAAATTTTGAGAATATAAATCTATCTAGTTTATGTTTCAAAAAATTTTCTAACATAAATGAGATAGGTCGGACCGAAACATAAATTCTCATTTTTTATAAACATATAAAAAAGTAAAAATAAAAATAATATTTCTTTAAAAGTTTCCAATATGAATTTAACTATTCGTTTCCAATACAACACATATGTTAAACTAATAAACAAAATAAAAAATTAACTATATTTCATAAAATTGAAAATTAAAATAAAAAAACATTATTAAATAAAATAAACTAAATATAAAGTAAATTATTCTAATATGTTAAATTTAAAAATTGTTTCATATGAAAAAACAAAAAAAATATATAAAACATAAAATCAGAAAATATATAATAGTATATAAATGATCATTACGAGATATAAAGTACGACAAATCCAAAAAAGGAAAACGTAAAACAAAAAATAATAAATTATGACAATATATAAAGAGATAATGTAAACAATTAAAAATACAACAATCCGCCCGAAACCCACAAATCATGTTCAAATTTCATGCCAACATATAAAAGGGCCCAAAAATTAACATCTAGATCTATATTTGGTAAAAACCCTAATAGCACACGTTTCTCAATGATTCTCAACCGCACTTCCATTTACGCTCACACTTCGACTTATACTATACACACTTAATTTCTCAACGACTAATGAAGCTAAAACTCAATAGTTTTTCTATACAAACACAATTTAAGTTTAAAAAAGTAAAGTATGGTATAGTGAAAAAATATATAGGAAATAAAATACGAACCAATTACTAATAAACAACATAATAAACTGCGCGGGCAACCGACTAGTAAAACTATAAATTGTACTTTTCTAGACATAAAATTAAACTTATGAATGATGAATGAAGAAAATAAGAAAACTGATATCAAGTTAAAACGGATGAAACATGAAGTTAATGTAAAAAGAAGTTTCAAGCTAATCTCTTATCGTATATATATGTACTGATGTACGTATAGCACAATATTTTCTCTTATAGAAGATCAAGTAAATCCAAAAGCAATAATGAAGACTTCCATGAGCATCATCATCATCTTCTTTGTAGCTTTTCTCTCCATTACTACAATCTCATTAGCCAAGATGAGCAATGTAGAAGATTGCATAAGAAGAAATATCGCTCATGTCGAGACACCTGAAGACATGTTCTGTAGAGACGAAGGACGTATCGTCATGTACTTCTTGAAATTGAATGGAACGTTCCCACATTACTACGTCAAGGCATTGTGCAATGTATTCGGAAACGATGATATGAAGGTGAAGCAATACGTTCTTGAGAAATGGTTGAATCTTTCAAAGAAGCTCATCGATAGCTTATCTTGTGCTTCTCTATAAAAAAATATGTTTATATTGTCTTATTATTTTTTCTCATGATTTTGTTTGATTTGTTAGAAGAATCAAGAAGACTAAATTTTTATAAAAATGATACATTTTCTTATTTATAAAAGAGGAATAATTACTCTAAAATGGCAAATATTGTTCTACACTCCGAAAACATATAAAAACCATTGAAGATTAAATTACATTTACAAATGAATTTTCACTTATGTAGCTTTTATAACAGATTTAATTGAACCGGAATCGCCGGTAATAGAATCGTACCGGAGAAATAAATCGGCGACGATCAAGCTAGCCGTGAGAGTGACCATGTCCTTAGCCGCACACTGTTTATTCGCGGCGCTCGGCGTACCGGTTTGCGGACCGTTAGACCAGTAGAGATAATCAAGCAATTTAGATCCGGTCTGACCAACATACCGGTCCGGTTTAAACTCGTCCGGTTCGTCAAAAACATTAGCGTCTCTCATCACCATTGGCTGATAGCCACAGAGAAGCTCACCTTTCTTAACCTCAAAAACCGCATCGTGTGAGCTAATCTGAAAATCCTTCCTCGCACGTGCGAACTGCAACGGAACCGGGGGACTAAAACGCAGCGTTTCGTAAACCACGGATTTAACCAGCTCCATTTCGTTAACCGTTTTGAAATCAAGATCCGACCCGGATCCGCAAACCCTCCTGACCTCGGACTTAAGTCTCTCCTGTAACCCGGTATTATCTCCGGTGAGTCTCCCGATTAAAGAAGGTAAAAAGACGGAAAAGCCCCCGTAAGCGTTAAAACCCAACACGAAGAGAAGGTTATGTATAGCCTCATCCCGGGTCAACCCGAACTCTTCTTGACCTAACCGGATACAATCTCCGGCGTTCTCGTCGATGAAACTGTAGAGTTTTTTGTAGCCTCCGGCGACTATTGCGGAAGGGTAAGCCCAAGTATGTACAAGAAGCTCTTCGAGCGGCTGAGGAATAACGCCGAGTTTAACAGTTGGGGTTACTTGCAATGCAAGCCAAGTATTTAGGGTTTTCCAACCGTTCTCAGCTATGTCCGGAGACACTGAAACGTCGACGCCGGCGAGAGAGGCGCAGAGGAAACTGAAAATGCAACTTTGGAGAGGGAATACATACGAAGCGGCGCCGTTTTGGGATATTTCTGATTCGACTGTTCCCCAAAAAGTGCTGAAGTTTGAACGAAGCGCTTGTAACCAAACCTTTGAGCTTCGTTTTAGTGTTTCCATGGCGAAACTTTTTATCTGAGTTTAAAAATACATTAGAAAAAAAAAACTGAAAATGTTAAAAATGAAAAACGTTTCTTCTCATAGACACGAAAATATATATAAAAGAAAAAGCTGTTTCTTGTTTTTTTTTTTTTCCTATGATTTAATTAATTATATATATATATATACACAAAAAACAACTAAGTACACATTTTCCCTCTCTTGTAACATAGTACAGGTGTAGACTTTTCTTTTTTTAATCTAGTGTGGCATATATGTAATATGTTAAAGGCTCACACATGATTAATAACAAAATTTTATTACACTTTGAAAATAATTTCTAGCAGGTCTAATTTTTTTTAATTTTCATATTTGTTCAATTAATCCGATAGAATTCACCATTACCATTTAGATTAGTTAACTAGTAGTAAAAACTAAAAATCACCAGACATCAAACCCAGTCACTATATATTTTTAGATAAAAATGATTAAAAATCTGTTAAAAAAAATAATTTCAACTTTTTTTTGGTTAAGGTTTTATTAATTAAAAATAACTAGTTAGGTTTGGTTCTTAGTTTTTAAATTTGTTATTATTATTTTTTTTGGTCAACAAATTTATTTTATTAAAGTTACATCTCTTCAATTCCAACTGTAGATATCAAAATTACAGCTGTAAAAAAAATACAGCTTTTATATATAAAAAAATACAGCTTATATATATAATAATAATAATAGAGTCTTGAGGTTAAATTTTTTTTCCTCAAAGAAATAATTAAAGAATTAGTAAATTAATCCCTTCTCCACTGTCGATACTTCCTCAAACCGAATTGGTATAGTCACAAATAATCAACAAGTCGACCAACCAAATTATCTATATATCGTTACTTTATTAATTTGCTTATTACCTTAGTTAATAAAACTACTTATTATACACTCGTATGTATATAGTAGTAAAAAGCAACGTATGTACGAACCTTGGCGTGCTTTGGCTCGGTGGTGTCGAGATAAACTCCAACACGAACGCCTCCGTAGAAATCGAGGCTAGGCCGAAAGTCTCCGATGAGAACATCTCTTTTATCAACTAGATCCATGTCAAAGAGATGGCTAAAAGACTTGACATCGAGCACAGCTACGATGTTAGGGTTAACGTTGCCAAAGAAAGGAAACGTCGGAGGAATGTTCGCACGGAACACTGTGGTCTTGTACTTCTCTGCCCTTGTCTTGAAAAACTTATCGGGTCCTTGGAACCAAAAGTAATCTAAACGATCCGACAATGGTCCAACCAACGGCCAACCGTACGACCCCGGTATTGTACGGACGGGAAGCTGTGTCGGGGACGACTGTGGTGGCTGTGGCGGTGATGTTAGGGACGTTGAAGGTGGTGGACGTGAGGAAGCAGCCGCCATCGTTCTCAATAACATCTTTCGAGATTTTTTTTGAGAAACTATTATCTCTTCTTACGTCTTCTTTTTTTCTATGCGGTTGTAGATGTGTCTCTTGGGAGATATATAAATAAATAAAAAGATAACGTGCAGTAATAATTATGTATACCATTATGGATTACGTGCATTATTTGTGGACTCTTCGTATAAAATGTTTTATAGTATTTGGCCTGTGTACGTACTATATATTTTCTCTGTTGTGTATAATATATCTGACTTAATTATTCTTTTATTGTATATTTGATTTCCATCACTTATAAACATCGTATATTATATATAATTATTTAATTTCCGCTAAAATTTAAAAGTTCTTAGAAAATATGAACTTTTAGCTAGCTATTCCCAAAACGGAAAACCATAGATACGTTTAAAATGGCTTGCAGCCAAAAATAAACCTAATTTATATTTAGAGAAGAAAATGGATTAAATAGTACTGGCACTACGATATCGCCAAAACTAAACTACACAATAAATTTATGCTTAATATCCAAACAGTAAAATTTTATCATATACGGTGATATTTTTAATTAGTTATTTTTTCCCATGCGTCTTGAAATTCGATTTTTTTTGGGTTAGAGTATAGTATATATAAAAGTACTGTAATTACTCAAAGAAGTAAAAAGTCGAATTTGTTGTAGTATAATTTTTTTTTATGTACATGATCAATGTTAAATAAAATAAAATTTATGTATCACATGGTATATAGAGTATGTATTTGTGAGAGGTTAGAGAGTGCTGTTCATGTATGTATAAGGTTGGCATGGCTTTTATTCTTTGTATTCATCCATTTAGGTCTACACTTACACACAAAAAAATATCTTACAAACTTCATTTAGAGAACTATACATTAATATATATACACGTAACAAAAGGCAAACACTAATATATGTATGGTAATGTATTCAGCTGCTACTTGACCAAACTCTAAAGTGTACCTTTTGTCTTTCTTTAATAATCATCAAGTGTCGTAGATGAATGTCAAAAAGCACTAATTCAGAGTCGTAGTTAAATTTTGTTTGGGACTATATATATACAGACGATTTCTATGATAATGATCAAAATTATATAAAATTTTTGTATTAATATTTGTCCAACGTTTCAACGCCATATCCTCAAGATAAAAGTCGGGACCCTAATTAACAAATGCAAAATTAGATAGAGGCCAAAACAACGTCGTTTTTTGTCAAAGCATTCTTGAAGATCTGTGTCGTATCTTTCTCTCGGTACCACATTATTAGAATTTGTGTGACCACGTTACCATGAAGATCACTCTCTCTTGTTTTTTTTTTCGTTTTTTTAATTGGTTTATAAGTTTATTGATAAAGTTAAGGTATCACGAAGATCTTTCTTAAAAAAAAAAAAAATCATTGAGTGGACGAGAATAAAAAGATCGAGAAACACATGTCTACTTAAATGTTTAACCACCGCTTCTGTCCAAAAATAAAGACAGAAACGTCAAGGAATCACCGCAATGTATTATTATTGTACGTCATATGAAGACATTTTCACTATTGGTTTCAGATCGATGCATGTGGACGACTTTGATAATAACCTTTAACTCAAGATAAAACCGATCTTTGAGAAGTAAAAAAAAACGTAACATGACATGATACAATAGTGAAAACTTATAATATAAAACAGTTTCGACTTCTCGATGAGAACGTACTTTGCTTTCACGACTTAAAAGTCATATGAGCATATGGAGATTTCTATAAGCTAAATTCACTGAGAGAGAAGACATAGAAAAGTTCTAGCACCAACAAAAGACCAACAACATTAATTATATGGTCCCAAGTTAGTGATAGACACTTAACCAACGAAACATTTGTATTCACGCTCTACATGGTCCCGAGTTACCTATTTATGATATAGTTCCAAGCATTGCACCATAATGCCACTTTTATTACGTAGCAGCCTTTATTACGTAACATTATTGAACATACAAGAGGGAGCGGAAATAATTGAATATTTCAAGCTGGCAATTTACAATCAGAAACGAGAAATTAAAGTCCGATTCTAGCATTGCTTAGGATAAGACTTGGATTCAGGGCCAGTCAGATATGTATGCCTATGCGGCTATGCATTATAGTAAATGTCCATGAAAAAAAGATTAATCTTAGAATATAAAGATAACACAAGTCCTTTGGTAGGCAATTAGAAAGAGATCTTTAGATCCCTACAAGTACAAACCATTAACTTGACAAGGAGCATGCATGGCCAAGTAGTTCACGAAATGTTCTAACGGTCAGTAGTACACTATACTGTCGAAGCCATGGTGTGGTCATATGATACAAATTAAAAGGCATATAATCTTTAAAGCTACTTTTTATCAAATTCACTAAACCAGCGAGACTTGATTAATAGAAACTTAACGGTACATACTCTCTCCACCAAAACCCCAAACCAAGCCCTAGCTAGAAAATTCATCCTTTTTTTATAATCTACCGAAACAATACTTAATTACATTAATTAATCCTGCCCTCACTTCACTAACTACTCTTCAACCAGCTTACCTCCACGACTAAAATAAATTATATATATATGTTAGACGAAAGCTGAAAATCTTATAATGACTGGTTGTAGTTTTCTTATAATATACGATGAAATGAGGAGACCGTATCTACTTCTTGTTGTCCTCTTTAACATGCAACAGACCTAGCTATATGTATGTTGAACACGGTTGAGGAACTCAACTTGACTAAGTTGGACATGGTTCGATGCCTTTGCCTTACCATCCATGTTCGTCTTCATCATCTCATCTGGATTATATTAACTCTTGATTTTTGTGGTTTTCGAAGCCATTAGTTGTCATGTTTCAAGTGGAGACAAGAAGATCATCGATATCGTCAACGTGGCATGATCAACTCTACTAACCTCTCTCGCACCATTGATAGAGAGATATATCTCAAATTAAAGTAAACATTGTGGCCTCCTTAGACATTTGACTCAATAAAATTAAAGACATAGTTCCTAAAGCATAACCTTCATATGTTTTCATCTGAATTCTTGAAAATACAAATTATTCAACACTTTCTTGTAATCATCTCTATATATTTTTATGTTTAATCAATAAATTTATTGATACAACTTACAGTTTTTTTTAACTGATTAACTAACTTAATATCTGATTTATAAAAATTAGGACATCCTCTACAGTTTTCTTTAAAAAGCATTTAAAAAATAATTTACTAATATTCTTGATATTATTTCTATTTTTTTTGTGTTCAACCAATAAATTTATCAGTTTTTTTTAATTGATCAACAAAATATATGATTTTTTTTTAATTTATAAAAAGGACATCCGGCACAGTATTATGAAAAAAATGTTTTAAAAAAATAATTTAATAGTTTTCAACTTTTTCTGTATTATTTAAAGAGAAAAAAAATCAAATGGGAAAAAATGGGCTTTCTAAAAAAAATCCAAACCATTCTCAATTTCTTACAAAGTCAAAACATTCTCACAAAGTCAAAACATTCAAGGCCGACAACAAATGTTATATAAGTGTAATAAACCATTCTCAAAAAAAAGTCAAATCACTTGAAATTATCACTGAAAAGTCAAAACATGCTCTTCCGCTTATATCTTCCGATGAACGTCGGAGGAGCCAAACCTTACCGTCGCGTAATCTCGTCACTGTCTTCCATTTTTCAGTCGAATATACAAAGAAGCAAACTTGAAGCTCAGGTATGCCGAGAATGCAAGACTGGTCAACTAAAGCTTGAAGATGCTCTGTTCTACTTCGATAGACTTCTAAAGACAGAACCTATACCTTTGATCCATACTTTTAATCACGTGTTCGGTTCAATCATGAAGCTCCAAGGATCTAAGGAAGTGGTTTCGCTGTATAAAAGGATGAGACAAGAGGAGGGTGTTGAGCCTGATTTGTGTACTTTGAATATTCTGATTAATGTGTTTCGCCATTTGAAGCGATATGATTGTGGTTTTTGTGTTCTGAGTGATATTTTAAAGAGAGGGTTTGAGCCTGATTTGGTTACAGCTGATGGTTTGGTGCTTGGTTTGTGTTCTCAAGGGAGAGTGATTGATGCACTTAAAGTGTTTGATAAAATGTCTCACAGAGGTGTTAAGAGTGATGTTTCTCTCTATGCAAATCTTATTCAAAAGCTCTGTGAGATCGGCGAGACGGGTATGGCTCTTGATTTGCATACGAGGATGATTGCTTCGGGTTGTAAGAGTGACCGCGTTATTTACACTTTGATGATCAGCTCCTTCATTAGAAACAGGTCACTCGACGAAGCTATGGCAGTATTTAGGGAGATGGCTGAGAATGGTGTTTCTCCTGATATTAATGTTTTTCGGGTGATGATTTATGGATTGAGTAGCGCAAGGCGGTTTAACGAGGCGCTCAGATACTTTGATGAGATGATTGCTCAAGGGATCTCTCCTGATCTGGGGATTTATAACTCTTTCATTTATGGATTATGCAAAGCGGGATTGTGGGAAGATGTTACAGAGATGATCAAGGAAATGGTGAGCAAAGGGGTATCACCGGATGTTTACACTTATACCATTTTGATAGATCGTTTTTGCAAAGTCAATAAGCTGAATGAAGCGATTGATATGTATGACTCGATGGTGAGTCGAGGTCCAGCGCCCAACGTAGAAACATATAACTCTTTGCTGGATGGTCTATTAAAAGGGTGTAGGCTTACAGACGCAACTGAATTGTTCAAATTGATGAGGCATGGAGACATTAAGCTTGATGTTGTTACTTACAACATAATGATCAGTGGCTATTGCAAGAACGGAAAAATTGAGGAAGCTGTCCAGCTTATAAGAGAAATGAATTGTGAAGGGTTGAAACCAGATAATTATACTTACTCAGCATTAATCCTCATTGTTAACCAAGCTGGAGACTCCGAAGTTGCCAAGGAAGTCATCGATGCAATATGCAAGTCTGATTGCCCTCCAAGCGTACGTCAGTACCGTGCTTTAATTACTGGTCTGATTAAAAAAGAAAATTTAGAAGAAGCAAGAAGACTATTTGATAGATTCTTGAACAAAGGCTTGGTACCAGATGCTGCATCATACAACACTATGGTCAATGGCTATTTCAAGTACGGCAAACTGAAGGAAGGCATGGAGCTCATGAGACGAATGGAACGTGAGGGGATGAGACTGTACGATTCTACATGCACGACGCTAATACATGGTTTAAGCGAGGCCGGAAATTGTGATGTTGCACAAGAGATCTTTGATGCAATTGGTCCTACTCCATCCATAATCCAATTCAATGCTCTCATTGATGGTATGATGAAAAATGGAAAATCAGGTGATGCAAAGAGACTTTTTGATGAGATCTCGGATAAGGGTTTGGTGCCTGATGCTATTACGTATAATATAATGATTGGTGGCTATTGCAAGAATGGGAAACTACAGGAAGCCAATGAGATTTTAAGACAAATGAAATGTGAGGGGCTGAAACCAGACAATTATACCTACACTTCACTAATACACGCTTCCTGTCTAGCTGGGGACTTAGATGTCGCGCAAGGAATCTTCAATGCAATATGCAAGTCTGGTCAATCTCCCGACATATTTCACTTCAATGCTCTCATCAGTGGTCTGATAAAAAATGGGAAACTGGAGGACGCAAGGAGGCTCTTTGGTGAAATCCCCAACATGGGATTGGTTGTAGATATCGTAACATACAATATAATTATCGATGCCCTTTGCAAACATAAGATGCTATCAGAAGCAAGAGCATTGTTCTTTGAATTAGAACCAAAAGGTTGTTCACCTGATTCTGTTACGTTCAACATTATTATATCCGGCTTACTTGAAGAGAACATGGTTAAAGATGCGGTTCTGCTTCTTGAGGGAATGCTCAATAGGAAATTTACCCCAAATTATGGGGTTAAATGCAGGGTGCGTCAAGTTCTTGCTCGTGCTGATGGATTTAAAACACTTCAGCCACTTCTAGACACTTATGGAAAGAACATTTTCGAGTGAAATCAATGTAATCATATATGGCACTGACCTGAGGATTTATTGCAATCATCTGACCTCCAATGTAATTGTAGAACATTTTCGAGTGAAATCAATGTAATCGTAGATGGTATTGACCTGAAGATTTATATACATTTTTCCAATGAAGGGAAAACTTCTTTAGAACATAAAAGAATTACCATTGGAGGTATAAACAAAACAACTATCAGTGTGAATTAGGGTAGCTGTTTTTGCTAGGCAAAGGAGTGTTCCTCCATGAGCCACGCCTAGTGGCCACTAACTCTGGTGACATATCAGACTTTGCCTTCGTCATGCCCATCTCTTCGTCTATATCTTCTCCAACCCTGAACTCTGGGTGGGCATACGCATCTCGAAGGAAAGCCTTGAGGTTTAGATTTGGTTCACGTGTGCGTTCCAGTGTATCTTTGATCATAGCTTCCTGCTTTTACTCGGAACATCGAATAGGTAAGCTTACACATTTCACTCAAAGCTACTAAAGATACCTAGTTATTTCTGTCTCTTGTTTTATGTTTTAACTAACCTGTAGAGGATATGTGACGAAAGCAGGTTGGTAACGGCATTTGCAGTGTATGTGGAACCCAATGGTCAGCATAGGTAGCACAAGAAGCAAAGGAGTGGACTTAGAAGCGTGTTTGGTGCTTAGAAGACCCATCAAGAGCAGCTGGGACACGATCAGCGCTGTCACAACACGCCTGTGAACATCAGGCCAGAACTTCCCTGCACTCTCATACTTTTGGTTATAAACATTTATTACCTGCAACAAAGCCTTCATTGTTACTTAACGATACTCAAATGTCAGAGGAAAAGGTAGCAGAAGATTCAGTTATCTCACCTGATGACGGTACACTACATAAGCTAGGCCGAAAAAGACGAGGATAAAGGGAAGAAGGATGGGGCTAACTGCTGCATAAACGAGACCGAGAAGAAAGTATAGCTGTATTTGAGGCTCACCGGTGTTGAATCCTATGGTTCCAGGATCAGTTGCTTCTTCCCTATCTTTCTCAGTTCTCACGAGGAACGAGTTCTTTAGATGATAGATTATGAGCGGCTTCAACCTCAGTATCTCCCCAGCAACACCTGCCCATCCATCCACCATTATGTATGTTATAAAGAAGGTTGCTTTCATTGGAATCGAGACGCCAATTGTCTTTGGAATACTGCAGATATAGAAAGTCAGAATGATAAGAGATTTCCCCGGTGAATCCAGGCAAAGGGAGGTCCTAAAGAACGTACTCGTTTGCAGATTGGTTAAGGAATTTGTTGAGCTGTTGAAACGCAGTCCCGGTGACTATGCTTCCAAGGAAAACATTAATAAACTGGAACATGTAGAATCTAGATGCGGCTCTTCTTTCTAATGAGGATGTGCTGACGAAACCTTCGAATTTGGACATTTGCATCAGTATTCTTGGGAGGAAAAGGAGGAAGATCTTCAAGGCGATTCCTGGAAGGAAACCTTGGATGATTGACTTTAACAAGTCCCTGTCCACAATGAGACAAAGTATCGTAAGAAATTCAATCAACAGGGCAGCGGGACATATCAGGCTGATGATATTCAGGGAGATAGACAGAGACATACACTTCTATAAGGGGCTTCAAGAAAGGAAAAGCCTTCTCTATGCCTTCAATGTTGGCCAGTGACTGTACAAACGCTATTGGTATCATGAAGAAGAAGGTGAGGAAAAAGTATGCTACACCAACTATGAGCCTTCTTATCTTAAGGTCGACATATGGCAATGCCAGATTGTCATAGTATATGTCACGTGGCTCCGCAGCCCACTCGGTTAGCCACTCTGTTGGGTTTCTTGTCTGTTGAGTTTGAGCACAAACCGCTGCTCCCCAACGGCTCTTGAAAGATACAAACGCTGCAGGCACTATGGACTTTGTGCCGGTCCTTAACCTCTGTTTCTCCTCAGAGATCTGAAACATCCAAAGAAAATTTGATTAATTGTTGCAAATGAGGTTGGAGAATAAAAGCATTAACATAGAGTAGTTATGTTGAACGCTTTACTTCTCTGGTTAGACCCTCGACAGCAGACGTGTAGTACTTGATTCCGTCTACTTCTTCACCAAAGCAGCCAAGAAATCCCATCTACTTGCAGACATAGAGATTAGTCTAAGAGAGCAACAGAGGAGAAACTTAAGGTTATATGATTTGCAAATGTGAGTATACCTTAATTTTTGGCCTTTTATTTAGATTTCTCACGTGTTTGTTTATATTGTAATCAAGCAGATTCTGCATTTGTTTCCTCGTCAGAACCAATTCTGAGAGTTTGGTTGCATCATGGACTGCCTGAGTCAAAGCAGATCAATAATCGTCAAGTCAGGAATCGAGTCAGGATTGATACATCATAAAATCTGAAGATGACTTTACCTGGAAAGTGAGGTAGTGATCTGGATGATTGACCTTGAAGAAATGTTCAACAAGTTCACAGATTGATTCATGAGGATCTGCAGGAATGTTTCTTACCAGCACCTAACATCAGTAAGAAAAACAGGTTAGCTTATTCTTTTAGAAGTAAAACTCAAAGAGCATCGAAAGATTTAAAGTTTCATTACAGTGAACTGGTTAGGTCTCCTTTGGTCATTTGCAAGAAACTGTAGCCTCATTAAAGCTATATTTTGGTACTCTCTTTTCAGGATAAAGCATGTCCAAAAGGTGATAGCGTAAGCCACGCACAAATGCACCCAAAATCTACAGAAGAAAAGCATCCAATGAGTAAAAGCCATATTGAACAAAGAATAAAAGCCACCAAACTTGGAGAAGCATCTCTTACCTTGATGACCCATTCGGTAAATTTGATAGAGAGAGCTTATCAATATCACTGAAACTTATATTAGTATGCCTTAACCCATCCAATCCCTTGTTTGTCCAATTAACAGGCACCATTGTCGTAAAAGCAACACAAGCTATCGGGAAAAAGATCTTGAGCCTGCAGTAAAAAAACAACCATGGCTCAACAGTCTTGTACCAGAAGAAAAAACAAGAGAGCTTGGGAGATATCATACATATGTATGTATATACCCGAGTAAGTAGATCCTCAAGTAGACAACAGAGTCAAGTCCAGCATGATCAACGAGCTCCGGTTCTGGCATTTTTAATGCTTCAGGCATCCAGTTAAGGAATCGAACGTAGGACCTGAAGTCCAAGTTGATAAATTTGCTTCCAAAGCCACCGGTTTGTATAGAGCTAGTTCTTAAGCCCTTGAGATACCATTTAGGAAAATAGACTCTGTCATTTACAGGTTGAATCCTGAATATAGCAAAAGCTAAGAGAAAAGCGAATGCTGTGACTATATTGATTGCTGCTGCTACTCCAATATCGTTTATTGAAGCCATATGAATGAGACTGTGAAAGAAGATACTATTCTCTCTATGCTTGCTCTTCCTCCTGTAAAGAAACAAGATTCAAAGGAAGGAAACACAGATTCAGACGTTGCAAGTTGCGGTCAGAAATATCCAAAAAATTAATAATAAATAAATAATAATCTCAACGTGCTCTGTTTTTTGTTTTTACACACAGAAACAGAAACAAGAACACCATCTGTCACAGTCACAAAGAACACTCAAGAATCAAGCTTTGGTTGAAAAATAAAAATAAAGACCAGATTCACTTCGATTACCTTGTAAAAGAGCTAAAAGACAAAAGCTTTCTTGTTCTTGTAAGTAAAAAAGATTTCAGTACAGAACAGTGACAGAGGAAGAAACAGAGGAAAGAAGCAGAGGAAGAAGAAGAAGAAGAAGTTTAATGAGAGAAAAAACAGTATTTTGCTTTGCCGGGTTTCTAGGAAATATGTTCAAAGATTCATTCGACGAAAGATATGACTGCGAATTTATTGTTTATATGATCCGTGAAGAGAGGTGTGTGAAGAGAGAAAGAAGAAAGAAGAAAGACTTGGGTGAGGAGGACATGGCAAAACGTGAGCCTTGAGAGTATTAATGAAGATGCTCTCTCTTGGCTATGACAGTGACTAAAGAGTAAATCAAAACCGTGACACCAAAAGAAGATGACAAGAAAAGCAATAGTAAGATCCAATGGGTGAGTGAGTTTCTTTCTTTCTTTTTGGAAATTGTCTGGTAACGTTTTTTATATTTGATTTGTCTCCCTCCATACTCCATAGTCTCTCTCAACAGTGAGTAAAACTAGTGGCTATGATTACTTTGGGGTTTTTCTTGATTTTTAAAAATGTCATGTGTTAATAAAATACGTGTATAATATAAAGTTGATGGACCCTTTAACAAATGAAATAAAACGGTTATTTTATCCTTCTTTTATAATAGCAAGTGCCAAGTGGGAACATGTTCACAAAATATCACAACCACTATATTTTCGATATTTTCTAAATTAAATGGTTTCTTTTGGGTGGATAATTGAATTATTTGTGTAAATACAACAAGGTGATGAAGTTTTTTTTTAAATTTTAAAAGTGGGTCCTAATCTACTTTTTTTTGCCAAAATATAAATTTGGATTTATTAGTCTGCATTATCCGTATTTTAATATGGTAGGTTTTGCAAAAAAATATAGATTTTTTTTTTTAGGTATCTTAATTATATAAACTTCAGATAAATAAATAAACTTATATGATACGTAAAATAGAGCTGTTTATCGTAGTTTCCTGTGTTAAAACTAAATATACGTTCATTACGAATATAGTGCATTTTAGACTAGTCATTTGTAAAATTGTTTGTTGTATAATTTGTTCGGAAACTTACTGCAAAATTATTAAATTCGGATTATTTGATTCGATTAGGTTAAAAACAACAATTGATTGGTTAATCACTTATAACCGAACCGACCTGAACTGAACAGTTGGTTCGGTTGTTTATTTCGATGAGATCTTCTATACTATTGATATATGGAAATATGGAATAGACCACAAGTTAAAGAGCTGCACCGTTTGTAAAACCAATAGGTTGCATTGCATCGTTCGTTTCACACGTTGATGGTTTTAAAGTTGCATCAAAGAGAATAAACTTGATACTCTAATGTCATCGAATGTCTATGTTTCTACTGTTTTGTAGTGAATTAGTGATGGATGGTAATAAAGTTTAATACTAGTGGGGAATATTATCAGCTATCACTAAATTATGTTTCTAGCCATTATAAAAGTATTTAACTGGATATTCGTTAATTGCTTTACATAAGAAATATCTAAACCCACTTGAATTAATCAAGAAATTAATTAGCATATGATATTTTTGAGTTAATGCGTAGTCAGTAGCTAATCTAAGAATTAAAAGGACATTTTATCTTTAGGGTATATTGAGTTTTTGTTTCAAACTTATTTTGGTAACTTGCAAAGTGCAAAATCTCTTCCTCCTTACTCTATTTGCAGCCACAGAAGTTGACTTGAGAAGAAAATAGAAATCATAACAACAAGAAACAAAACTATCTCTCTCTCACCAAGCAACTTGAGATACTCATTTTTGTTCAGAAAACTTTCTATTAAAACGATCACTCTCAATCATTGTCGTGACTCCTCCTAGACCCACTGCAATAATACTTGCACATTAAGGCATCATTGCCTTTTTTTTTGTTTTGGTCGTTGTATAAAACTTTCCGACAATTTTGGTAAGTCAAAAGTTGGACATTTGAGGTCTCTCTGGGCTCTACTAAATCCAAATCCATACGTGACATTCTTATCTTTTCTTTCGGATTGTGACTTTCAGACTTTCCAAGAATCAAATTGTTATAAATATTACAAATGGTGTCTTGTTTCTCTGTTCAAACCTTACAATCAATCAATATAGGAGGTCGAATGAGTTAGCTACTCTTGCCATGAACAGCAATCTGGTGAATGTCCATGTCTTTGAGCATCACAGATCGACCACAAGAGTCACATGGTGCTGTTCTTGAACCACAAGTACTCTCATGTTCTGACATTCCTCTCATCCTGTCTCTAGTATCAGTTGCAGAGCTACCCGCTTCCACCATATCTCCGCAGAACCTACACGCGATTAGACGAAGAGGACAATCTCTTGCTTGATGTTGGACCTGCAACAAAATCACGACCTCGTGTTAATTTAATCATTTCCAGCACAATAAGGTAATGAGAAAAATGATTGTAACGTTTCAATTTACGCACCATCTGTTCTTTCTCAAGCATTATCCCACAGCCACAAGTGAGTGGTTCATGAAAGACTTTCAAGTGTTTCTCCATTTCTGCTGGCTGCAGTGCTTGTCCACATTTTTCACAGTGCAAATGGTTTTTCGCCTCCTCAACTCTCAGAACAATTCCGCATCCATGATGGTTACAAACAACGTTGTGTCTACTACAGTATACTTCGTGCAATGCTATACTCCTGCTTGGAATTGAATGCTTACAGTTCCTACACTCTACTGTATCAACATCTGATGAAGATGATAAAGCCCGTTCCCCAACCTTAGCTCCATCGATGCTTTCTTGGATTAGTACTGAAACCTGGTACTTAACTGTTCCTTTGAAGCCATATACACCTATACTGTAAGTCCCTGAGCTCAGAGCTCTCTCCTTTGATCCCAGGATTAAGGTCTTTGAACCCACATCATGAGAAGACCACTCGTGTTGATGAAGAGAAGGGAACAGAACTGGGTGTTTTGATACATATAGATCAGTATCCGCTCCATCCTTTTCCACATCAAGCTTTACAATAACTTTGATGTTTCCAGCCAATATTTTTTCTACAGTAGCCTCATCAATCGAAAACTTATAATAATCATATTGTCCTTCCTCCACTGTTCCGGATTCAGATTTCCCAAATTGAAGCAGCCTTAACACATGCTGATTCGGTTTATCTGAAACTATATCTGGACTAACTATATCAACCTCAATGTCAGTCTCCAGAACTGAAATGCTTGAGGCAGGTTTTAACTCGAGAACCTGAAGCTTGTAAGAGACCTGCCCATAATTTACCGAGAGAACATCATCTAGAGAAAGTGTAGCATGTTGACGAAGAATGGTTTCAAGGATTGCTTTATGGTTGGGCAAATCAGAGAAACCAAGGTTGTCCGGTTGAAGCTTCGCGTAACTGCCTTTAGGTAGCCGGATATAACGGATTTCCACCAAAGGAACATCCACTGCATCATGTGATGAGAACAGGTTGCTCCAGACGTGGGGAGGAAGCCCAACAGTACCATCTTCAGCAGTAAACTCAAGAACACCAGAGTGTGTTGTCTTTTTATTATCCGAGTGGTCAGCTACAGAGAGCTCAAAGTACAAAGGACCTTTATCGAAAGCTCCTTGATCAGACAACTCCGTAAAACAAGATGGTGGCAGTTTAATCTTATCTCCATTTCCTTGAAAAGGAACAGCTTGAAAGACTCGTTCAAACACTATCCCATCTCCAGAAATTAAACTTTCTTGCATATGTTGATCAGCCTAAAACACAAGACAAACAAACCAAATGATCAGAGAGAGCCCACCTGAAGTTTCACATCAAGCTACACAAAGCTCTGCAGTAAACTAACACTTATAATAACGAATGTTCACAAATTAGATCCTCAAATGGAGAAGAACCATTGAAACAACCACCCAACTATTCTTTATTTACCCAAATGAACAACACCAATTTGCTAAACAAATACGAATCAGGTGAAGTAAATAAGAAACACACTCTCCTAAGATTATCAAAATTTCCAATTTCAGAGAGACTATTACAGAAATCTACAAAAGTCCCAACCTTTTTTTTAACAAGGAATCCAAAAACGTAGGAGAAACTCAAATTCCCAAAATCCCAAATCAAAAAACTCAAGAGCGAAGTAAGACTAATAGATACAGACCTTAATCTGGGCTTCAATGGCGTCAAGCCTTCTAGCTCTCTGAGAAGCTTCAATAGCTTCGCGTTGCCTAATCGCAGCTTCCTTAGCTTTCTTCTCTCGATCGAGCTTCAGCTTCGCCCTTTGCTTCCTCTCTCTCTGCTCTCTTTCAAGCTTCTCCTTCGCCGATCGAAGCTCGAAATCCATTTTTTTCCTGAGAATTCGAAATCTGAAGGTACAAGGAAAAATAAACTTTCTGATTTCTCTTTTGTTTCTTCAAGAAAAAGCCAGAGTGATGTTTTTTATTTATAAATAAGGGCTTTTTAGTCAAATAAAGTTTCTGGAATGATCTGGGCCTTTCTTATATTCAAAGCCCAAAACAAGACTTTATCACATTGAACATATTGTGGTTTGTATATATATATATATATATAGATATATATATATTTTTTTGCCGTTGTATTTATTTTGATTAACACAAATAAAAATATCTTTATTAAATTAATTGCTAAATATATAAATTTTTTTAAAAATATTAGCTGTTATATAAATTTTGTATTGTTTGATCAAAAGGTAGATTGTTTTAATTTTTTAATTTAATTCTACGAGATTTATTATTTGTTTCTCTATTTTTTTCCGTGATCCATGAATATTTTAATGTTTACTTACTTTTATTCAAAGATGATTTTTTTTTCACATGTAAATCACTATAGCTTTTGCACATAACTTTTTAATTCTCAACTTACAAAAAAGATTTGGCCATTTGAGTTAATTACCATCATTAAACAATCTTTTGTCCCAAAATTTGTTGGTCAAAACAAATTTACCCCCGTCGTAAGTGACTTCAAAGAAATATTAATTTTTCCGTGAAATGAATTATCGATGTAAACTAATTTTAGTGTCTTATTTGTAAAAAATCATAAATATAGAACCCTTCTTTACAAAAAAAATATAAACAATTTTAGGGACTAAAGAAAGTTAGAGTTAGATGACGACATGCACTGTATCCACATTATTGACTCTTGTATGCATTCAAAACATCCACACATTTCACACTCGACAACACTAAAGAGTAAAGATAGAGAAACTACAGATTATGTCTGCAAAAATCATAAAGTCCAAAAACGAGTGTTGACTAATTATATAATGTCGGTTAAAGAAACGGTCACATTATATTGATCGCATGCATATATCCATGTCTTGAATGAT